GGTCCCAGTATTATCACCTGTAGCTGAAACATTATGAAGTTGCACTGGATATCATGAAAAATGACAGCTTTTTGGATACTTCACGTTGCAACAGCAATTAATGTTTCTTCTYAGATGTTTTGATGAAGCTGGTCTAACAGAATAATGACACCCGTAGTAAGACATTTATCCAAAAAATTAACTTTTTGAAATGGCTGAAGCACTACATTATATAAAATCAATTGTCTTCTTGAGTAAGTGTGCAACACAGGAATGCAGGGTTTCTTCTCAGTAAAGAAGGAAAAAATAAAGAAACTTTGGAGTTACCTACGGCTTTAAATAATCTGGTCTTCCTAAAAAGCCTGGCCTTGGTACTACTAAAACAGGTAATAAAGTGCTAAAGTTCATTTCTAAGACAGATGAGAAGAATGCACTGAAAATTATCTGCATCAAACTGAAGAACGAACACRTTTAAACCACTGTGTCAGCGCAGATTTATGTATCTATCAAATTTTATCTTCTGTGTGCCCCATTAAGTTATTGCAGTAAAGAGTGTCATCCAAATGTCCCGATCTGATCAGAAAYTACAGCCTGGATGTACAACCCACTAGGACACAAAGAACACAGCCAAGATCCCACTGACTTAACAGTRAGAAGAGGATTATGTATACTATGGTCTGTCCTTCTGCCTTCATTGCAACCCCACACTTCTGTGGAGACCATGCCCTTAGTTCCTGAATTTGTGCCAATTATTCTGTCAAGGCTGAAGTCATTGAATCTGAGGCCATCTAAGCCAGGCTCTTACCTGCTCCAAACTGGCAGAAGTCTTCTTACTTCAGCCAAGGACAGCCAAGGGTGTACGAAAACGAGACTGGTAGGGTTTCTGGAGAACTGTGTCTTTTGCTGTTGCATATATCTGCCACAGAAACCATCCATGAACTGGAAACTTCTTAGAATCAYATTAGGTTTTCTGTCATGCTGGAAAGTTGTTTCAGAGTCTGATTACCCCATTGGCTTGAAAAAGTGAAGTAAAAAGTAACTTGAAAATTACAACACTGGTGTGAAGGGGGCCAAAAAACTCTATTATATCACTTCAGTTTGCTTCCAACACAAAGTCTCTGTTTAGYAGGCATAACTCCAGCTGGTCCTTAACTATTGCCAATAGTAAKTATTGCCATTTCTCTAAACAGAGTGAAAAATTGATAATGTGTCTCATCTAAGTTCCTTCAGACATTTTAAATGTAATTGCAACACCTAAAAATATTTCTGCTGCCTCACTTGTTGCTTGAAGATACATGACCATGTAAGGGAGTGTTTGCAATTTGACATGTTACCACATGCCAGGACTGTCACAGCAGCAAATCTCTTAGCCTCCAGYAAATATCAAGTCATCTGCTTGACTGGCTTCACAGTGGATTATATTAAATCACATCACCTTGCATTTGCCCCATACACAGATATTTAACTCAGATTAGCAAATAAACAGATTTTGTCTCTAGGCCTTTAGACAAGAGGTCTTAATGGAGTTTTGCAYCTTGGGTCAGCTGCTGTGATCTGCCTTTGCAAGACATGCCATCAATTCAGTCTGTTCTTCTGAGTTTACCAAAGGCCTGCTGCTAAGCAAAATACACAAGCWGTCTACAAACCCATGGAATGAATGAAAATGGTTAACTCACAACTTATGCGACATCTCAGTCAGATGGATATGTTGGAATTAGTGTAGAGCAGGAGTTGAGTTTTTGGGTAAATATATCTGCAAGGTTATGTCGCTTTGCTGCTGTGTGTTGTTCTGTGGTAGAATGGCTGCTGCATTCTTTCCAGTGCCAATAAACCTACAAAATTTGGTGTACGAAATAAAAATCTTCATCCATAGTGTATATTAGTGTAATGACATGCAAAGGCTAGATTATTTTGTTTAATCCTTATAATAAGCACCTTTTGCCTTGAAAAGATTGTGGCAATTAATTGGACAAAAATAGTTTCCTGGAATGTGGAGTTACAATGGCAGCCGCTTAGCTGAATGAAAGTAGAAACAAGGAATGTGATTAATCATCCCAAATGAGGTTTTACCAAGTAAAAGCTAAAACAGTATTAAAGTAGTGCTTGTTTAATAATATTACATTGCTAAATAATCTATTAGATTGTTTTTTCCCTTGTAAAAAATAGGCACTCTCAGGATTGTGTTTGTACTGCAAAATCATAGGGTGCTGTAATAGCAATTATCATCCTTTGCCTTTGATGTGCACTATTGAAGCACTACAGTGATCAMAGGTAAAAACACCTTCAATTCCAGGATTTCTAAGATCTCTTTTTTTGTATCTCACTTAGCTCTTAAGCAGTTCCCAAAATCTCATGTGCCAAAAGCATGAGACAAAGGTAGAAATTTAAAATTTGCCTTCCCAACACTAACCTACCTCAGCTGCTCATCCTCCAACAGAGAGATCACAGCCAAGGCATGAAACTGCAAAGGCTGGGGGTAGATTTGGCTGTCTAGGGGTGCCCATACACTGAAGAGAAGATTGCTATTTGCTTGTCACCTAGTCCCCAACACAGCAGCATGGCCCTATGCAGMCCTTACCAGGTTTGCTTCCAAAATAAAGTCTCTATTTAGAGACTTTTTGGCGCTAGACCTTCCCTCATAACTAACACGTACCTTCCGTGGCACCCATCTAAAAAAAAAAAAGTAAAAGAAAGAAAAACCAAATCCAGTTCTGAGTGTTTGGGATGCTGTCTCGTTCCAACCATGGGGAACCGCGAGGAGTTCTTTTAAAATGGGTGGTCGAGAACGCAATGAAGTCAAACGACACAAACTTTGTATCTGAGAATGAGAACAAGTAATTGCCCACTAAAGGGGGCTGGAAAAGACAGGAAAAGAGAAAGGAAAATGGAAAAGGAATGGGTAGAGAGAGAAAGGAGACAGAGGGAGAGAGCGGGCATTACCACCAGCAGGACCTGGGTGTGCCGTCAACCTCCACGTGAGCGGGGTGAGCGCTGCTGCCCGAGGGAGAGAGCTCGGGGAGAAGAGCGGTTCCCACGGACTGCCGGACACACGGTGAGTGGACACTCGAACAGGTCCGGGACCCTGGGTGGAGTCGAAGAGGATCGCGGCGGCGGGCGAGGTCGGAGGCAGGCAGGTGGCACAGGCAGGACAGCGGAGGCTGGGTCAGCGAATGAGCGGGGCAAGGCAGACACTGCACTCGAGGCTTGGAGGGCAGATGGCATCCTGCCGAGCGCCCAGGAGGGAAGGCGGATACGTGGGGGCGAGCGAAAGCTAGTGACGGCAAAATCCGGGCAGGATGGACCCCTCAGCAGCAGTGAGCAACAAAGAGAGAGCGACCGAGCAACAGGAGCAGCAAAAACCCCAGCCACACGCACACACAGAGACCCCTCCCCCCGCAAAATCCAGCTCCCCAAAACTCAGGGCGCAGTTGATTTTTATATCACCTGGCTCCTCCCAAAGTCCACCTGCTGACCAGGAGATCATTGGTCAAGTCCAAGCTTCTTCCATCGGTGGAGCCCTTTACCATCCGATTGGAGAGATGTCTCTGGGGAGAGCAGTGTCTCCAGATGTCCATGAAGGTGTTGCCAGGCAAAATCCCCCCAGAGACAAGGCCTCACCCATCTCCTGTTTGCCTCCTGCAGGCTGCACGTGTGCACCCCTTCCCCCACATGCCTCTGACAAGCAGTGTTGAGGCAAACCAAGATTAAAATGGCTCTTCACAGATACTGATCTTCTCCTCCCTCCAGTCACATGTATCTTGGCCACTGGCAAGCATAGAATCATAGAACCATAGAATGGCTTTGGTTGGAAAGGAGCTTGAAGATCATCTAGTTCCAACTCCCTTGCAAAGGGATATCTTTCACTACACMRGGTTGCTCAGCACTCYATCCAACCCRGCTTTGAGCACTTCAAGGAATGGGGYATCCACWATTTCCCTGRGCAACCTGTTCCAGAAACTCACCACCATCACAGTACAGAAAGTCCAGTGAGCATCATGACTGGGCCCTCCTTGCATATCCAWCCCCTCTCCCCAACCTCAGAGACCCCTCAGCCACATCCCCAACTTGGTGAGGGAGTTAATCCCCTCAGCCTTCCCTCCACCCTGGAGACACCTGCTCCCTGACACCTCATGGCCACCCCACTGCAATATTCCCCCAGGCCTATCCATAGATACCTCAGTTTCTGGTGTGTGAATCACAGAATGCTTTGTGTTAGAAGGGATCTTAGAGATCATCTGGTTCCAGTCCCCTGACATGGGCAGGGACACCTTCCACTGAGCAAGGTTGCTCAGGGGCCCCTCAAACCCGGCCTTGAACACTGACAGGGGTGGGGCATCCACTGCTTCTCCGGGCAACCTGTGCCAGTGCTTCACCACCCTCACAGTAAAGAATTTCTTCCCACTGTCTAACGTAAACCTACTTTCAGTTTGAATCCATTTCCCCTTGTCCATGTCCCCTCATGCCCTTGTATAAAGTCCTTCTCCATCTTTCTTGTAAGTCCTTTCACGTAATGGAAGGCCACAATAAGGCCATCCAGGAGCCTTCTCCAGAAAAATCCCAATTCTCTCAGGGTTTCCTCACAAGGGAGGTGCTCCACCCCTCTAATCAACCTGGTGGCCTCCTCTGGCCTTGATCCAGCAGTTCCATGTCCTTCCTACGCTGGGGACCCCAGAACGGGATGCAGCATTCCAGGTGGGGTCTCCCCACAGCGGAGAGGTGGCCTCTCCTGCAAGGGAGGAATGACTGGGGCTTTTGGCACGCATATGACTGTTAACGATTGCTACTTTTTTTCACATTTTAAATACCCGTGATAAATTTAAATTTKKATTTAAATTTTAAATTTAAATTTTRAAGGCACAACCCTGCACACGTYATTCCAAACCCGCGGTAAGGCACCGGGGGCGCCTGAGGCTGCGGGAGCCCGGCTARCGCCGTGAGGGGCGGGGTGCCGAGGGCGGAGGAAGTCGGCGCTCGGCCGGAAACCGGGATGCGGGGGGCGGGCAGGGGGCGTCGCCGGGTCCCCGCCGGGCGCTGCGGCTCTGCCTGCCGCGCCCATGGCCCAGCGGGCACACAGGGGGCAGGGGCAGGACGGGGAGGAGGGAGCGGAGGAGGAGGAGGCGGCGAGGGGTAGCCAGGCGCGGGCCAGGAGCCATGCGGAGCCTGCGGCGAGTGGCGGCAGGACCCAGGAGCGGCATGAGAGGAAGCGGAAGAGGCAGGAGGCGCAGCAGCTCCAGAAGATCCAGCACCTGGAGTCTTTGTAAGGAGCGGAGGAGGGGAGGCTGCCCGCGGCTCCCGCCCCGCTCTGCCCTGRGCGCACCGCGCCGGCGTTTGGGGCTCGTTTCCAGTGCAGGATTTGGGKTTTTTTGGGGGGGTGGTGTTTATTCTTCCCCAGTCCCCTTAAGGGTGAGACGGCACATAGCTTCGGGGCCAGTAGTAAAGCTGCTTGGTGACTTACGAAAGGCTTTTTGGGGTTCTCCCAGGTTTCTTCCAAGTCTGAGAGATACAGCATAGAAGCAGAGGTTGTTCTACTAGAATGGACTTTAAAAAAAAAATAATTGGGATAAAAAGGTTTGAGATCTGCCTGATRACTCCATTAGTAGCCTGTGGTACTGTAAAAGCTTTATGCTATTTCACTGAAAAATAATTATTATTTTAATGGARCAAAAAGATCAGAAGATTCATAAGAATACCTTTTTTTTCCTTTCTCACGTGGAAGTGAAAATCTGTTTGTTATTAAATACACCAAAAAGTACTCCAAAGTTATTTTTATAAGGATGGGATGAACATACTTTAAGCACCTTTTCCCTKCTGTTCTTACTACATTAAAATCATTGTGCCTAGCATTCCTATAGGTATGTAGCGATGTGTGTGTGTGTGCACAGCTAAGCCAATGAAATACTGTATATGCCATCAAACTTATGCCCTAAAACGATGTACAGCCTGTACAGCTGTTTTGTGTCCTGCTGACTTAATTTGGATAATGTCCAGAAAGTCTTGTTAAAAAGAGTCTTCCATAAAAGCAGAGGATTTTAGGACTCTGGGCTTGCACAGTGCTGATCTTTATRTACCATTGAAAAACAAAACCAAAAGAAATCTCTGTCGTCTTCTAAGATCATTCTATCTTTTTGCTAAGGCAGCAGTTTACAGAAAACAGTGTATCTGTTTAAATGCAGATGAGATTTTGGGTGGGGAAACCCCAAAATTGAACAAATTCATTTATACAGGTCTTCATCTTTGTAGGTGATGTGTATTCTTTATTTCCAGGATCATTTAGCATATGCAGTTTCATAGTTGCTGCGTGCTCCATGTTGCACCTGTTTCCTASTTGGGTTTTAATAAATGTTATATCTACTGTTAACCCCAAAGGGATGCTGCAGAAAATATAGTATCTTGTTTAGTTGGGGTCTGTCTTTAGGTTTAATACACAGAAGATGATGAAATTATTATATAYTAGTTTGGGCTGGCAAATTAGATACAAGGAACAGCGTGACTTGACATTTTCAGCTGACTATGATTCAGCAGTGCTGGAGTAAAGAAGTTTGGTTCAGTGACAGCTTGGGAAGGGGTGCTACAGAAAAAGAGGAGAGGATTATGCATTTATGGTGTGTGAGGCTAAATCGTATATAACACGTTCACAGGAAGTAGCTGTGCTCCTACAAAAATATGAATCCAAAGGATGTTTGCAGGAGACGTGATGATATGACAAATGCTGTCTCTAAGTCAGTTTGCATCCAGCTATCTGTGTTCAGTTGTAGTTGTTAGCTATTAGTTATAGGGTAAAATTTAAGGAAAAATGTGAGCTGAAGGTTTTAACCCTGTACCACTGGAAAACTGTATTTTCTCAATGTATTTTTCTGTGCTAAGCTGCAGAGTAACAATATTTCTTTTGCTTTTCAGCTATGAGAAACCTCCCCCTGGGCTAATTAAGGTTGGTAAATACCAGTAAGTTTTTAGGATTGTGAGGGATTTTCACAAAACCTCTTCTTTGGTGTTTAAGTGCCTGTGTTACCTATATAAATTACAGAGAAAAGTAAGTGCTCCCCAGGAAAACCCAGAGAATCATTACAAGCTGACCTCTTTGAGCTGGTGATCCAGAGTGAAATGCCCAGAATCAGACAGAAGGAGACCAAGTCTTTCATCATCTTTTAGCATGCTTTGTACAATATTTAATTGCGTGGATAGAGGAGAGCCATTTATGGAAAGCRGATTTTCAGTTTGAATGACATCTTTTCAAGATTCTTTTCCATTGCTTAGGCTGAAATATTTCATCATGATCATTACTTTTGCCAAGTTTATATATCTAAGCCACAAGATAATCATTTTAACCTAAAAAGTACCATTCTGTGTTGTAAAAGCTTTCTTGTAATTGTTATGTTTTACTAGCAGGTAGAGGATAAAAAAGTCTCTGCTCTGTGTTTTCATTTATATGATTTATTTTAATAAATTACTAAAATAGATGGGAATGAATGAAATTCCTTTGCAGTAAAGTTCTGACTGCAAAATTCATGGAGGAGGGAAAAAGAAAAGGTCAAGTATTTTAGATCTTTTGTGTGTTACAAGGAAAAAGAGTTACRGGGGAAATATGTTTCCTATTAAGTGAAGGTCTGCATACTTGAGGTATTAGTTCTTGCAAAGTTAAAAAAGGAAGTTATTTTATTTTATTTTCCCTATCTTTCTTTTTTTTTGGTAGGAGAATGAAACAAAACCAGAAGACTGCATACCTGATGTACCAGGCAATGAGAGTGCACGAGAATTCCTGGCACATGCCCCTACAAAAGGCCTTTGGATGCCTTTGGGGAAAGAAGTCAAAGTAATGCAGTGTAAGGCTGAAAATATTCCAGGTGTCATTGGACCATCATATATCCATCCATTTACTCTGGGGGAGGGCAGAATGTGGGGTGGACAGATGATGAAGTCCAGGTAAATTGGCATCATATTGATCTAAAAGCAACCAATATCTTGAAGGCTGTAATACCCTTGTACTTTATGGAAATTACATTTGTCAGCATACTACTTGTATCTCTCAGTTTCTTTCAATAGATTGAAAATACTTTGCAGAAATGTGGTTTTGGCTTTTTATACTTCTGATCTGTCTCAGAGGTGCAATTCACAGCTGCTTCTTTTTTTAAAGGTTGGAGATGTAAACGTTATGGACACAGAACAGGAGATAAGGAATGCCCATTCTTTATTAAAGGCAATCAGAAATTGGAACAATTTAGAGTTGTGAGTACCAATATTGTACTATTATTTCTTGTGTTTTTTAGTGCTCATARTGCATAATCTTGCAAGTGAAGAGAAACCTGATAGATGATGCTTTATTAAGGACTTTTCCTCTGTCTCTAGTATAATATAGATGCCGAAAACCTCCTAATAAAGAAAAAGCTACAGATGTGGTTGGATGTTTGACTACTTTGCAGAAAATCTRCTCTTCAAGAGGAAAATTAGTAATTTTTACATACAAATTGGAAATCTTCAAGAACCTGTTTCAACCATTGTATTTATTTTTTTGTGATTAAAATGTCAACAWAACAAAAAATGTTTAGTCAAGCTTGAGCTGCCCACATTACAGCTGCTTCAAGCCTTCTCTCGCTGTGAACAACCACATCATGAATGCTGTTGTCTAGGTCTGTAATCCAGTCATTGTCTACAAGTCTGATCTCTTGCTACATGAAGCTACAGCTCAGYTCTGCAGATTCTTCTTGTGTGATCTCTTTAACTATTTCTGTTGTTCTGCATCATTAACCTATATTTTAAGCTATCATTACTTCCTGTCTTATGTCCTCATATCTATCCTTGAAGAATTTAATTTTGGATCAGTCTGTTCAGATTCTGCACTCATACTGATTATATGCAACTGCAAAGAATATTTTTTAACCCTTTCCCATGAGCAGAGTGCCTCTATTCTTCATTTTCCTTCAGGCTTCTTTATTGCATCAAACTCTTGTTGTATGTCCAAGGCCCTTCATGGTGCTTTCATTTGCTGCTGAAGTTTTAATTCCCACCTCTGGGCATCACCTGCTGTCTCTTCTCTCTATTGGGCTTTTTCCTTAATCTTTCAGCAGAAATTATCATCCCACCTTTTTTCTGCATTCTTGCGTGGCATGAACTCATCTTAAATGTCTGCAAAGTTTATTTGCYGTCTTCCTTCACAGCTATCTTTTGCTGCAATGCCCATTTAATTTAAAACTATCTSATTTAAGAACCTGTAGTGCATAGCATGATAGGACAACTCCAACCTCATTATTTGTTTGTCTTAGATTCCTTACTCCTGTTTTCCTGTTTGTTCATATCCAGATTTTTTAATATACTTTAAGGGTACAGCTCATTATTTTGAAGTTGAGTATTCCATCTATGTCCTACTATTCCCACAGATTATGTATGGGATTCTTGTAGTTAGCTGTCRTGGGAGAGAGAGGGAGGTATTATACCTAAGGAGAGTCCCCTACATTGGAGATATAGCTAGATAAGCTTTCCCTSAAGCAAATACACCAGTTCAGATGAATAGTGCTAAGTCTGAGAGTGAATTAAGAGCTTGCTAAGCATATTCCATCTTTTGATAAAAGCATCTTGCATTTGGTTGCCTTGGCTTATTTTTTAAGTAAATAAAACCATTGGAGATAACACTGTATTTCCTGTTTTTTTACTTTAAAGGCACATGAAGATCCAATGTACGATATAATAAGGGAAAACAAACGTCATGAAAAAGAAAAGAGGTAAGTGTGTCTGTAATAAAGTGCATTTTCAATTTAGTTTTTATTTTGGTAACGTGGTACTAATGTATAGGTAACATTTTTTAAGCTTACTTTTAGCTCAAAAGATCTTTTTAATGACAGTTCATTTATGGTGACATACCAATGCATTTTTGCTTTCTAGTCACTCTTCAGTACTTCCTAGCTCTTTAATTCTTWAGCTTCTGTTTTCTCCAAAACAAAGTTTAAAGAGGAGTTGTATTCATTTATGCCAGAATATTCGGGTACTCAGCTGAAATTTTGGTTTAGGCGTGAAAAAATAGTTCATTTTTTTTCTTTCACTGACTTCACTGAGATGTTTTAAAAAATATTTAAGTCAGAATGCTTTCAGTAGAAGTGAAGGGGTGGATTTAGAAAGCTAGTTCTAGGCACCTGATGTTGCTACTTTTGTGAGGTCATTATTCACTATATAAAGTGGCAGTTTTTAATGTTTTCTTGCTTGAACTGCCTCAGTGGGATCAACGAACAAGCTATAGGTGGCCCATAGAGCAGCACTCTTGCAGAGGAATCCTTGAAGAGTATACAGAAGACAACAATAACATAAGCAAATACTTTGTCTCCCTAATGTGCCGGTAATTCTTGAAAGTACAAAAGAAGAGTGTCTTTCAACCCAGTGCATCCAGAGCAGAGCCCACTGTCAGCTTCACTGATGTCACCTCTATCAGTAGAAATGAGTGTCATTGTATAATCTCAATATGCCTCTGTATGGATTAGCATAGAACTTCTTATCACCAGGTGAGCTGGTGATAGCTGTTGCCTTGTTATTGCACACATAAATAAACCAATAAGCTAGTCTGCCTCTCCTATCCAATGGGATGGAAAGTCCCTAAAAGCAGAAYGTCTTCTTGTCTCAAAGGAGGTTACTTCTATCAGTTTGCGATATTATCTGTAACAAGAGTGTAATTAGGCAAAAGAGGAAGTGTTCCCCTGCCCTTTGCATGCAGCTTCCATTCCTCAASCCAGGAGGGAAAGATGAAAGCTAGAATAAATTACTATTTAGGTAGAGGAGAGCTAGAAAGGATTTTCATTCACATTTTTTGAATTCAGGATACAGCAACTGAAGCAGCTCCTGGAGGACTCTACCTCAGAATCTGATAGCAGTGATGACAGTGATGAGGATGATGAAGGTGGCAGTAGCTCCACTTCCTCAGAACATAAACACAAGAAGAAAAAGAGAAAAAAGGAAAAGAAAAAGAAAGAAAAGAAGAAGAAGAAAAAGAGGAAGCATAAGTCATCCAAATCTAATGAAAAGTCAGAATCTGACTGACAGCAGTCACCTGCTGCATGCTCATTGACCTCTACTACAGCAAACTGCGAGGGAAGATCCAAAGAATGAGGAGGAAAACACCAGAAAGGGCTTTATTAAACTTGAAACATACATGTGTATGAACACAGCATCCCACACGGGCATCCTCTTCTGCCCCTCTGCAGTCAGAAAGAAGAAAGCTGCATTAAACCATATCTTTGTGCTGTAAAACCCACACTGAGGGTCATCAGTCTCAGTCAAATGGGGCCTCTGCAGTGCTGCCTGTGACCAGCGGCAAAAAGAGGCGACCACCGAAGGATCACCGACAAACCTGCARCATTGGCAGACTGTCTGTTGGAGTGTCTTTACTCCATGAAGTTATTTTATTATATACAAAGCCTTGTTGTAACAGGACTGCAGTTTGCGCCATGCAGAGCACTGAGAGCTCACTTAGTGCTTAAAATGAACAGATTGTACTGTATTTTCTTTTTTCTGCATCCATGCTGAAGTTCTGTGTACTTATCCTAATATTGGCAGCTAGGGAAATAAAGAGTACTGCTGCAGGGGAAAAAAGGTAATCGAGGGGATTTACTTTAAGACAAAATTGCAGCATCGACAAGACTTGATGTTTTTTGTTTGTGTGTGTGTAACAAAACCTCARTATCACCACCATTATTACACAGTACTGAAACATACAAAGTGAAATAGCTACAGTGTCTAAACCATAGGAGCGGGAGCCAAGTATAAGGATGTTAGATATTCAGCTTAACTGGGAAGAGGTAATGGGTTTAGTTATAAAAAGGGAGGTTTCATGGAAGAAATTTAAAAGACTAATTAATGYATATTCTTCAGTAGCCATTGTTTTGATACAAGTTGAGGGAGATGTTTCCTTTTGAAAAGGCTTGGAAGTAATAAATTCCAACTTTATTTATATTTATGAGAATTAYTTGATGAGGTAACTTTTTTTTAATTGTCCCAAAAGAATATAAATGTGTAAGGTTCTCAAAATAGTTTTCAACTGTATGGATAAAACCACAGAGCAATAGCAAAGAATTTGTAAGCAGGAAGAAGAGAAAGCTTTGTGTACTGTGTAGATCTTAGGTACTGACCACACAGATCTTATGTACTGACTACACTTTTAAATAATCCTACACACTCAACTAGGACAGTGGAGATAACTATAAACAGCATTACAGTAAGCAACTCTCTTTGAATCCTTAAGGTACATTGGTACAGAGCTGTGACTTGAGGAACTAGATGATGGAGATTGGTGCTGTGCAAAAGGAAAGAGAAAACTATTTTCTTTGAAAGGACTTCTGTAGAACTTAGGCTCTGTAGTTATACTAATACTGAAAAAATAATCCTACACGATAAAGCTCTRATGAATTATAGTGAATATTGAGAGTGAAATCAAGGAACCATAGACTTAAATATATCTGAAATGTTTTTTCTGCAGAGAGCTTTGGAGAAGAAGGGAAAGCATAAATTAAAATGTTTTTCTCCCTTCCACATGTCTTAAGAGTGATTTAGTAAAAATAACCTCCCAATTCCTTGCCAGTCATTCACAATATGTTCTGAGKAAAAACAAGATTAAGTAGGCCTTGCCTAAAAAAAATCTTTTTTATCATATTCCCAGAGCTTGAAGGCAGAGTTGTATTTTAGCTTGTATTTAGCAAATCTCCCTGTGATGGGATTTACTGGTGACTCGTGGTAGTCACCGGAACTTCCCTAAGYATCATCACATTCTAAGGCCCTTGCTCATTCACCAGGAAAAGATTTAACAGCTGGAATAGCCTGGAGAGATTTATAATGGACTGGTTCTCTTGACCAGTCTGGACAGGGCTTTGGGCAACCTGGTCTAGTAGGAGGTGGCCCTGTATGTGACAGGAGGTTGAAACTAGATGATCTTTACAGTCCCTTTGAACCTAAACTGTTCTAGGATTCTTGTATTGCTACTCTTAGTGCTGAGATTCATGCATTGATAATTGAACAGATGCTGGAAGCCTGATACTCATCTGATGCATTCCAAGAGAATTCTTACTCAGGCTTGTCTAAAGCAGAGCTAGCTAAAGATCTCTACAGTTAGTTCAGCTTTTGTCATTTAAGATTGTCCTGAAGCTTAGTTTAATAAAAACAAGTTCAGTTATTCCTTTGTAATCCCCTCCCTTGTTAATGGAACTTTCTTCATATCTACCAGAGTCTATTATTAGAACAATTAAGAAAAATGCCTCAGGACACCATTGACTTGTATGATTTCTAATTTAAAAGTTTGAGATRCTAAGTCACTCTTCTATGCCTGACTAAAGGTCTGTTTGTATTAGTATCATTCCAGTCATGGTTAATAGAAGATTCCTACACAGCAGAGCAGTGCAAACTCACTGGCCTTATTTCTGTTACTTCACTGAAATGGTCTTTCAGCTTCTACTGCTGAGAGTATCTCTAGTAGAAGTACTTTAAATCATAGGTTAGATTTCAGTACTTAGTAGCTTTAGATACATATTTTCTTTTCTRTCCACTCACTTCTTGTAAACCTTGCTGTTTTCTTCAGTAATTAACTCTTCTTCACTATTACAAATCCATGGCAATTGGCTTACACACTCTGTATGCTAGTTTAATTTCACACACCTTTAATCTTGCACTAGAAGGTATATAAACAACTGAATCCTGTTTGTTCTGCCTATATAATTTCCAGTTTTATAAGTCTGTGTCATATCCCATACACGTAGGTCTTTACTGCAGCTCATGAAAGTAGCATGTAAAAATTTAACAGTTTCAATAGACTAAGATTTATAGTGGTGATTTTAACAGCCAGGGCTAGAGTGCTAAGAAGCATGATTCATGTAATCATTTGGCATTTTAAACAGTGCCAAAGCTGTCATTTAAGATAAGTCTTTTAAAAATACGTAGAATAAATACCAGCATCCCTTTATATTAATGAAAAAMACTTCTATGTAGAAGTAAACCCTAAAAGCAGGATAGAAAGTTGTAGTCTTGAAAGACTGACTAGCCTTATTTTTTAAATCTTAACCATTTAATGTTTCTGTTCAAGAAACATGTTTTTCCRGCCTTCTTCATAGACATGTATATTTCCATCTGACAGTTCTGTTGAAGCCCAAGTAGTAATAGCTATATAATTATATAGTCCCTTGAAATTAAATGTGTGAAATGCAGCTAAAACAAACCTCAAAAGCAATACAGCTTCCCAGGTCTTTTATCTTAATACTCTTGAACATTTTTGTCAGAAAGATATTTCAGGAAAAATACTGATATTTGTCTTATTTATTTGGCCATGAAATTAGCTGCAGTTTATAGCCTTTTCAGTGAGACAGCCAGTGGCAGTGAGTCGGGGAAGCTGAGGACTAAAAAAAGAATGAATTTGTTCTTCTTTGGCATGCCGTCAGTTAGCATGCCACAAGCATTACAGGCTTTTGGGGTTTGGTTTCTTTTTTTGCCATTGGCTCTGATCTTCCTTTGTTTGATTTTAATAGAAAGACCTGTAGTTAATATTTTCCAATATAAGGCAGAACATCCGGCATTGTAAAAGGGAAAAATTTTCATGCCATCCAGGTGCTACTGCACTGAAAATTAAAATACAGAGTTAATACCTGGCAAGACAACATAACCCACAGCTCCACATCAGCGATTATGCCACACCCACTTTGCAACAGAGGTTTCAGTTAGCTACAAATAATAGTTTAGAAATCTTGAGCCAGAGACAGTAAGTCTGTCCAAACAATGCTCTCAGTATGGCAATCTCAGAGGCCTCTAAAGTTKGTTACTGGTGTGCCAAGCAGCAAATAGATTCTTCAGCTGTCTTTCAGGAGATGCTGCAGGAAGCAGCAGGAAAACTTCCAAGGCAATGCAGTACTTCGACAGTTACAAGTTCGCAGTACTGCCAGCACTGCAGTGAGTCACTGGGCAGTCAGTCTGGCTGCACTGGTAACAAAAGCTCASGTGTATGTGCATCTGCAAAAAGAAGTATCACTGTGCCTAGTTACCTGGCTGAATAAAAAGAGCCTAGGCTTGAATTGACAGCCTTTTAAGTGCAGTTTGTACTTCACAACCTTTGTGAAGCATGGTCATTTTACCCACTGGAACATTAGATTCAGCTGTAAGCCAGTTAAGATGCAATCCACAAATTGTCCGTGCTGCTGAATGGGAAAATAAAGCCAAGAAGATTTTRTTTTAAAGTCACAGGACTAGTACTGTTAGATATAATACACTTCATATAACCTTATCAAAATTATTTTTTGAACACTGGAGCATTCATGCATACTACTTTAAGCRCTGGGCATAGCATGGCTATACTACAGGATAATAACCAGTTTAGAATAGTGTTTATTTTCAGACAAAGAGCTGTCTAAACACTCCTGCTGCTACACACTCACATCCTCTGGGGAGCATCACTAGGCCCTAAATTGCATTTTGCATCTGAGTAGAAATCACACTGAGTAGTGCAAGACCTCTAAAAGGATGACCAGTTTGATCATTGGGAGTGATCAAACAGGATCATTCACCTGTTAAGAATCACCCATTCCCAAAAGTAAGAATGTCCTCTGATTGTGAGGTCATGAATATTCCTTTACCAGATAAGCAGCAAAAGATACAACTAAGCCTATCAGCAGGATTGGGTATTAAAAAGCTCCATGCTWGAAGTAATTCCTCATTTTATTCTTTGAGGTTCTGGTGTGGAGCTTTTGTCCAGCACAGAAGACAAATAGGAATTTTTATTTCCTTTGTTTTCTTGCATTGTTAGGAGGAGAAAGAAATYCAAAACTTGTCAGCAAAATGGCTTCTTTCCCTTATAGCTTGGGGTAAAGGTTGTAGCTACAGCAGAGCTTCAACAATTAAGCAGGTGCTATTAAAAATAATAGATAAGAATCAGTTGGGTATGGAAACCCAACTCACTAAGAGGGAAAACTGTGTAACTTCAGTTACAGGTCAAACTAGTAATAGGTAGGCACAAAACTTGAATGCAGTCACAGGAAATTCTACTTTTATCCGTTTAGGCTACTTTAGGGCACAGACAGAATAATGGGAGAGGAGGCCAAAGAGAAGTTCTRTCTGTCCATTCACCCCACCCTTTTTAAGGGAAACCAGGTGTTTGTCTTGTTGGGTTTTTGTTGGGCTTTTTCACTCATACTATCACTTTATTTGGGAATCATTCAAGACTGGCAGTATCACGTTTATTCTTCTCACACAGCGACAATGGCCTTCTTTGACAAGGGTGGAGGGGAAACTTACATATATTTTGAGCTATCCACTTCATCTAGATCAGTCTATTTCCATTATTCATAAGATAGCTCAGCAGAGACCTAGTTTTATCATCTTAGTTCTATAAAGAGACAGTATCAACTGTAATAGAAGTCATCAGTAATAAGTCAGAAAACAGGGCACTCCACTAAATACTACATCTCTCCAGCTCAGCACCTCCATAAAGGACAAAAATCTCCAAAGAAAAAGGGGAGGAGAGGGAAGATTCACATCAACTCAGTGCTTTAGTTTTTGTCTTCAACTATGCATTTGAAGAGAGTAAGGTCTGAGGAACTGCCTTGAAACTTTAAACCAGTACTTGACTTGATGCAGCTGTAACTGTTTTCCTTTACATTTTGACAAAATCAAATCCAGCCAAAAATCCAGCTGATGGAAGAGTATTTTGTATGTCCACATCTCATGACTATGAGATGACATGGACTGGCTTCACAATCCTGCAGAGTTTAAGAACAGGGCAGCAATAACTGTCATGTTGTAATGTTGTAATAGTAGTGGTGCACATGCATACCCATCAGGTTTTTTTGCTACTGTGCAATGACGGAACACAAAAAGTCTCAAAGTGCAATTCTATGAAATTTATTATTTAAATAGTGGGTGTGCTGTTATAAAAAGGTGACTTTGGTGTTAAATACTTAATTCCATTTTGATAGTGTCYTCAGTCTTTACAGTGTCACTTCTTACCCTTTAGGAGTGCACAGCAACTTACAAAATACACAAGAGAATAATAATCAAATTTTGGATTTATACAAAACAAACCTTTGGTATTTCCCCCCTCCTGCCCAATATTGCAATYATCTTTTCTTAGAGAGGGACTTTCTTGTTCCATGCCCTAAAGATAAAAAAAAATAAAAGAGAAAAGGTTAAGGTTTATATTCTACCTCCAAACTTCATCAATTTACTTCTAAAGAAAACCTAGATATTAGTGATTGCCTTTTCCTGTTGCAGGCACTGATGGTTGATACTAGAACCATGTACTCAACTTTCCAGCAAGTATAAACCATGCATGATTGGTATTGGACTTCAGAATATGCCAGCCTAACAGATAAGAGTTCCATATGAAGCTCATGTCACAGTGTGCTCTTAAAACTACATTTTTGAATCTATCCAAGAAACACCAACTATTTCTGGGACAAGTATAAGAAGTATTATGGGACTGTGCAAGTTTCCTGAGTGCTTTTACTAGAAGCTGATCAGCAATTAAAGGTTTAAGACCAATGTTCAAACAATGTGGCTTCAGGACTGACACCAATTTTCACAAATAAGACACTTCAACTCRTTTCCAGCCTTCCTTACACTTCCTTAATGAAAGTGTAATCCTTTGTCTAATATATAAGAGATTGTGTTTGACTTGTGTTTCCTGGTGGAATATTTGAGTTCATTTTGCCATGCAATTTGTTCTTTTCCAGAAAGAAATCTGATCTTTTAGGTAGCTTCTTATATCTAATGACCCTTTTCAATCTATAACCTATTCAGATTCTCACAAATGGCCAAAAGCATATTTATTACTGAATCTACTAAATGGGCTTTCCTCTCCATTGTTTTTCCCCATCTTCTTCCAAGATAGCAAGAAGTTCCTATTCCATAAAGTTGGAGTTCTTAAGATTTATCTGTATGCATTTGTGTTGTATCAGATTATAGTATTTGGGCTGAGACAGACAAGTAGCTTAAATAAAAGCATATACTACAAAGTGACACCGGACTCAGCACTTTAAAAAGKTAGTACAACAGTCTGAAGAGCAACTAGACTAAAACTGAAACAGCAGGTTTTGGTGTGGTTTTCCTCCCCCATCCTTACATTAAACAAAGAAAGAACCTAAAYTGGTCAAAGCTACACTGACCTTCATAGCAAGGTGATAAAGTGCTCAAAATTTAGCTTTGAGCTCACCCCACCTTGTCTGCATATGTAGCATTTGCTATTATTTTACAAACTMTCCAACATCCCTCCAAGATTAATCCCCAAGATAGTAATTTAAAAAATGCATGTAGCAGTCATTTTTTTTAGTTTGCCACTGTGTACAAACCTTTGTGTACAGTGTATTTAGGCAGCTCCCACATTTCTACTTCTTCCACCTCATGTCYTGTGCTTCTGCATTTTGAAGGTGGCTTGCCTATTCTTTTCTTCTTTGGTTTAACCAAGGGTGGACACACTAAATAACAAGAGACAATTGGTGTTATTTCTCCAGTGCAGTCTCAAAGTAAATTCAACCTTGACTTTCACCAAGTGCTGTATGGTGTCCCTCTTTCTCCYTCCCTTTTGTATGCCTGTTTCAGTAGCAGATAAAACTGACACTACATATGTCAAGCAAGTCTTACACATCTACAATATTTAATCACTGTCTAACCATAATTCTTGATGCATGGTATTTTGGGTCATAATTTAGATAAGTTTTAATGTCATAAAAGAACCTAGTGAGTTGGATAATTCCGCTCTAGTTTACTTTTCAAGTGTTCAAGATTAGTTGGTGCTGTCCAAGTGACCCAATTCACCTATTTTCTTTAAAAAACTTCAGCCCTGTAAAGTTATACATCACAAATTCAATGCTCAAGAAGTCAGATTTAGTATATGATGTTACTACTAAAGCAACATATCTTGTTTAGCCAAATCCCCTAACTTGCAGGGCACTTAAGATTAATCTGGAAAAACAGATCCTAGTATAGGCAACATATGTCATTTTAATAGCACTTGTGAGGCATCCATTGGCATGAACAGTGGTCMGAAAACACTAGTTCCTGCTTCCTAACACTGATTGTGATGGCATCTTCAAACTACATGGGCTAGAGAAAGAGTGAGCAAGGAATAACACATAGACCAAACATCCTCAGTATGCTGCACTATCTATTACTTYAAAGATGTAGAAGAGACAGTGCTAAAAGTTAAAGGTAACAAAATTATTTTAGAACTATTACCATGTTTTTATACATTCTTGTAGGGGAGCCAAGAACAATGCTGCTAAAGTAAAATGTTTTTGAAAAACTTTTATAGAGCAGGCTAGCATTAAAAACCAAAACCCTACAACACTAAACTCTGAAAACAGAAAGCCTCCAACGCAAGAGGCAAATCATCCTAAACCCCAATATGCTCAAGCAGGAAAGCAATGCAGAGAAAGAACTCGAAGGAATACACTCTGTCTACTGGGCTGTTGATATGGGAAAGCTGATATATATTATCAGTGAACTGAGGAGAGGCAATTCAATCTGTTCTGAAGATACGCTCCATTATTTGATAGATCRGTTGTGACATACTTGAAAGCACATGGCCCAGGAGAGTAGTAATAGCTACCCTACAGCAAATTCYGTAGCTGTTCCAACAGCACCTGCACTCAAACACCCTTGAAAAGCATCAAAACCAGATCTGAACTCCAAGTAAACATTAACTGTAAAGAAGGAAAAAAAAACCAAAAACATTCTGCTTCAGGAGCTAAGAAATTATCTAAGCTTTACTTGTTAGAATAACTAAGKCCTTCATCTCTTCTGTAACAAATCACAAGGATTTGCACTCAATCATCCTTCAGCAGTGTCAGGACAACTCCTGGTCCATGCTAGGGTCTCTGAGCATTAGCATAGGTAGCTACCATATATCACTACCTACAGGTTTTACTCACCAAGATTAGGAGCTACCTCTGCATATGCACTCAGGAGTAGCATTATCTGGGTGAAGAATTAATATTACAGTTTATGGCACTAGCAACTTTGCACAAATAAAGGCTTTGTTTTGGCCACATTAAAGCATTTGATGCTCTTGATTTGTCATAATATGTTTTAAAGAAACAGAAGTAGCTATAATGCGTCCTTATTCCCCTGTTAGAGTTTGAGAGCACTATAAAATATCAAGATATACTGACTGACAGGCATTTCATCAACATCAAACCAACGAGAATCAGTTTTATTATTTGCATATCTTATACAACTATCACAGGCTTGCTACTTTGTATCATATCCTTTTGAATGTTCCTTAAGAAAAACACACTAGGGAAGTTGTACCTTGTTCTTTGTTCTTTGCCAGAGGTGAGAGACTACCACGTATTTGACTGGTAAATTTGGGCTTAGCACCACTACTAATCCAGTACTCTTCAGGTGGTATCCCCATGTTGTCCCTTAACAGCCTTCCTAATTAAAAAAAGAAAAAAAATTAAGGTCAGTATTTCGTTTTTGTAATGCTTGTGTACTCTTTGATCCATGAGCCAGAATGCAAAGCCAGCTACTGTGTCTGATTGGAGGAATCTGTGAGTCTGTTAAAATAGAGACATAGTTTTCTGAAGGCCACACTTGATAAAAATTACAAGCCACATTAAGTCTACGGATTTTGAACAAAAGAAAAAAAAAAAGTTAAGAACACTAAGCCTGTTCTTAGAAGTMCACCCTGTTTTGGTTGCTTTTCACAATACAAGATTGTACTAAATATTAGCCACCTACTGAAGTGGCCTCATAACCGTTGCAAACTGATAATTCTGTTTATTCCCAGTTTAGATTAGTCCAATTTCCAACAGTATCTACCTTTGATTAAATAAAACACTCTTTTCCAGGTCAAATTTAGTACACTTTCATACACATTTTCTAAAACTTTTTTTCTAAGAGAGAGCAGCAGCTACAATGAAAAAAATTTACTCCTCTTCTGTAGAGAAGTTACACAGGGTGCTTCCACTATACTGTAATAAACTTAATCCTGTTTAATGCACCTGGCATTAGTCTGTGATAGGAGAGTCAGACTATATAAACTTAGATGCAGAGCTTCCAAGATATTAAGCAACAGTAAATACAAAATCCAAACTACTTTAAGCTTTACAAATTAATAAATTGTCACTAATGTTAGAAAATTAAGTTTATTAAATSTAACACAAAGAAAAGCCTCTGCATTATTCTCTGCTGGTTGTGAAAATACAGAGTCCATATGCAATAGGTAAAAAAATTGCAGCAAGCTTCCCATGCTTAAAAAGAAAAAAAGTATTCTTTGGGACTTCTGGCTCTAAGCCAAATTTGAAGCTGCAACATGCTCTAATCTTCCCACTGGTTTAAGCTATAATTTGAAACTGCAATTAAGTATTCTTTGTATAGGCTACTAATCAGCACTTTGTTCTTCGCAATTAGCTCACCTCCCAAGAATTTCCGTAGCATTCGTTGGTGTTCAAGTCCTTCTCTCCTTGTCATTGGCCTCTTTCTTCCATAATACCCATAATCACTGTATACAACTTCATCTTGTTCCCTCTTCTTTGGCTTGTAAACTACACCAATACTTTCAACAAGCCCACTCCTAGTTTTTATTTTCTCTTGAGCAGGCCAGCTAATTAATTGTGTGGGTACAGCATTTTTACATGGCTTCCAAAGCACTCTCTGGCCAACTTGGTAGAAATTTCCTTTACTTGGCTTCAAGATTCCATATGAAGGAGCTTCTTCAAAGAAATACTCCATTTCATCTGTGTCATCATCATCTTCCTCCTCCTCATACTCTTCATCTTCCTCTTCTCCCTTCACAGAACATTCTTCAGAGTCCTCAACTTCTGACAGACTCTTAGTTGCTCTTTTGTTGAGAGAATCTATTTCTTTCCTACTAGAGGACCTAGAAAGGGCTCTACCTTTACTGGAAGCCTCTTTAATCTTTGTGTTTGAAGAGTTGACATCTTGGTCATTCAAGCTGTTCACCTGTTCCTTTCCAACCACTTCATCTACATTTAGGGACCCAACACTTTTAATTTGCTCTTTCTCCAAGCCCTCTGTACTTTTCTGAAAGGTATACATGCTTTTCTGAAGCACATAGTCAGGGACAAAATAAGACACTGGGGCATTATCAATTGATGAGCCTTCCTCTCTAGAGGACATGTCATCRGAAGAAAGACTGATTACACTTTGATGCTTCCTTTGTGGCATACAAACATTGTAATTTGTGTCCATACTGTCCAAACAAGCCAGCCAGCTGCTAGAGGGAGCAAACTTCTCCATTGATTTGTCACACCAAACACTTTTATCTGGCTGACTTTCACTGGTTGCGCTGTGGCTTAAATTCAGCTTTTTCTGCTGAAAGTCACTCATTACCTCCATATTAGATGGAAGTAGTCCTGCTTGTTGAATAAAGCTGGGCTCTTCCTGAGAAGCTTTTGAGCCTGCAGACTTTTTAGTGCTAGATTTCTTAGTTGTCACCACATCCTGTCTTACCACTGGTTGATCGATGCTGACAGATCTTGCCAACTCTGTGATTTTCACTGCCATGGTTTCACCTGGGGTGGATTTTGCCAGCTTTTCTGTATCCAGCTGCACTTCATTATTTTGGACTATGTCTTTCTCTTGCACWGTTTCAGCAACCTGTTTGGAGGTGACAATAGCTTTTCTCTCATCTAAGGAAGCTCCTGGCACCACTTTCTCCCCTTCATGAGAGCCATATATCATGCCTTCACATGAGCTAAGAGAAAATAAGTCATGCGGCACTATGTTCTCTGGAACTGGTTTACCACTTGCCACGTCATACAACGGGATAGTTTCTTTAAAGGACTTCCACAGCTGAATAGCTGGGGAGCCATTTCCATATTCTATCCTCACYTCTTCCTTCTCAAAGGCATAGCTTCCAGTAGGAAGATTTCTATACTGCGTGGAGCTGGCAGGGGTCTTATTATGAAACTCCCTGTCTACCACAATGGAAGATCCAAATGTATCTTGTTTCTCTGAAGTACTTTCAATCTCTGTACCTTTACCAGGAGAAACACAGGCCATATTTCCTGCATCACAACCTTTCGTTTCTGTACGGATATCTTGATGCTTTTTTTGCTTGCTTTCAGGCTGTCTAGGATCAGTCTGTGTTTCTTTTGTCTCCATTTTCTTTCCAGGGCTATTATAATGTCTAAATCTTGTTGCATGATAAAACATAGGGGAAGGTGGGGCAGCATTAAAATAAGGCCTTCTGTTAATTCTTGCATGCACTGGATGCTGTGGAACAAAAAATCCAGGGTACTCATGGAGCGCAACAGAGCAAAATGGAAAATATGGATTTCCACTTCGGAAACCTGGACATTGATGACACAAAGAAAAAAAAAAGTCATCTTTCTGAAATAAGTCATCCTGAATCATATTTACTAGCATAGACAGGGACAGCTACAAGATCAGACATCAGTAAGTAAAACACGCCACCTTTTAATGCTTAGAAGCAAAGCTCGTGAAGTTCAGAGAGTTCTTTGTTGTAGAATAGCTTATCTGGACATCTAGACTTTAACCAGAGCTTGATTTCAGTCCTTGGGTCATTGACCAGTTAGTTTTCTGTACTTTTTTTGTCTATTTTATGGACTATTGCTATAGCATTGCCTTTGAAAAAGATGGCTCCATATAGAAGTTCCCATAGATATAGCACTTAAAAGGTGTATTTAGCAATATTTTCCCAATTTTTAGGCTTACATATATCCATAACTATCATGCATGCACCTATGAATTCATATTAACACACACATATTAACTGCTAGGCATATTCTAGAGCTCAGTGGCTGGTGGATGATCATTACTTAATAATTTGCTTAGTTTCCACTCTTCAGGAGCAGATGCTTTCCAACACACAAGCAACATATTTAAGGCAGAATWAATGTAGTACTATAATTGTCAAAAATTTGATTTATTAAGTATTACTTTAACTTCCAAGAGGCTCATTAACACAGATACTGCAAGAGTGGAGGAAAGAGGAATGTAACTCACTAAGCAAAGAGACCACAGAGAGCTGTTGTTTACCATACCTGGAGCAGGTACGCAGTATGGACTGTATGCATGACTGAGATACCATGGATTTGGATAAGGCTGTTGTGCTGATGGCTGTGCATAAAAGAAGGGTCTTGGGTGGTTTGTGGAATACGATCCACTTTCTGAAGTTGAGGCAGTATTCATTTTTCTTTAAACACTGAAAGAGATAAGCAACCATTATCAAACACTTTAAAAACTGCATGACTTAATTATTTTTATGCTTGGACAGAATTTAGCAGGCATTCCTCTCCCAGCCAAAAGAAGCCATATCTTTCCAAAACAAAGCTGCTGTCTTCCAAACAAGAGGGAGAAAGCTGACATTACTATCAAGGTCAAAAATTTCAGTTGCCCTCTGCTAAGCAAGCTTTTGTACACACCTCTCAGTATTAGTCCTTCAAGCCACCCTTGTAACATGGTCTAAAACTACAGGACTTCAGTAGTCTTATGTGCATGCATCCATAAAAGTAGCATTCCAGCCAATTAAATAAAAAAAAAAAAAACTTTCAGTGAATTAGCCTTGAGCAAGAGACCACAACAACAAAAAAAAAAAACAAAAAAAACCAAAAGCCAAAACAACAACCAAGCAACAGAAGGCTTCACACAATCAGACATTTAATGCTTTGCTAAGAAAACACTTCTTAATGCTAACACATATATTGTTACACATTACAGTTAGAACCCCATTAATTCAGGATTTGGAATTTATACTAAAGAACAATGACAGCTAACTAAYATAGTAAACCAAGTATTTCAGTGACACCATGCTTCCGATGCTTCAATCAGATGACAGGTAGCAAAAACAACCCACCAAAATCCTTACATACAAGTTTGTATTCTGAGCCACATAAAATTCACAAGACATAACTTCCTCCCACACTTAGATGTTTCTTCAGTTAACCAATATTTGCAAGCAATACAACACTATCACACATAGCTTATAAGCAAGAATATAAGAAACCAGAGACCACAGAAGTTCAACTCCTTGAAGGAACCAAGCACTTAAAAGTCACAGAAAAAAAAAGAAATCAAGACCTGTTACAAACTAGCATACCGTTCAACCTGGAGTTTCAGAACACTTTAGGAACACTGGAGCCCTCTTCAGTTTCCATCTAGGGTGGCCTGTGTAGCTCTTGAAAGCACCCAAAAGCCTACAGACTTGCCCAGGCCAAAGAAGTACTCTGACCTTTGAAAGAATGATATAGAGAAGGAAAAAAACCTCCACTAACCCAAAAACCGAAAAAAAAAAACCCCAAACAAAACCCCCTACAAGAATTAAGCTATTCCTGCCCCCTTAGAGCCCCAAAAACTAAAGTCCATGCTGCTGCTGTTGCTGCTGCTTACAGCCCAGCAAGAAACTAAGCAGGTCCTCTGCTCACCCTCTTTATGGCAGGCAGCTGCTACTTGTCCACTCCTCCACCCACCTGAGGTTCATTTATCAGTAAGGCAGGGGAACTTTTGCTCTCAATGTGTGGGAGGAGAAGCGAAACACAAGGATAGGAATAGTTGTAAAAGCCTTCAGCTGGTGTACAGAAAGCTGGCAGTCTCCTCTTGCAGATGTTTAAGCTGCATCTCTAAGTAAATCTGATATTTCCCTTTTGTAATGTTGGAAATTACATTAAGAAAAAAAAAGTAAATACTACTAATCTTCTGATTAAAACTGCAGTTAAAGACATGTCTTTCAGGAGGGAAAAAATCAGGATATACAAGGCTGAGTTTACACTTATTTTCAAGTTTTACCAGTATTTCAGTACTGAGTAAAGGGAGCAATGCTCCTCCATCCTGAGAGGATGGTTAAGGGGACTGAAAACTTAATGATATTTCCATATGAACAGGAGAAGTGCTTACTCCGGTACTATGTACTCCACARTTTATGAAATTGTAAAGCTGTGATTTGACTCTGCCCTCGGTCTTTACAGGAGGTGACAGTCTGAGTTGCTGCTCTGGAATTACACATCTCCAAATGACAGAGCACCAGTACTGGGGCAGGTGGCAGGATGAGCACGAAGCACAATGCATGAGTTATGCAGGCAGGTGAATGACTAGGGAAAAACAAGGGGGTATGGATGTTTAGAGACTGTTTGCATTCCTGTCTTGGGAAGTTCCCAAAATATCTGGTTTTTTTTTCTTTCTGTAATGTTCAGATCAAGCATGTCCTTTGCAACAAGATACAAACTATGAAATGCCTGGAAGGATTACTGATCCATTCCTTGCAGACCTTCCCAGTCAAGGAAAGCTCATCCTTTCCATTGACAGCAGCTCTTGTACTTKGTGCACCAGTTGCTTGTATGACTTATAGGGACAGATCAAGGARTAATGGGTAAAAAGTGAGAGGGGAAATTTAGGCTAGGTATTCTCTGTGGTGAGAGGAGAAATTCTCTGTTGTGAGGGTGGTGAGACACTGGAACTATCTGCCCAAGGAGGTTGTTGGATCCCTTATACCTGGGCGTGTTTAAGRCCAGGTTGGATATGGCTTTGAGCAACCTGATCTAGTGGGTGTCCCTGCCTATGGCAGGGGGTTGGAACTCARTGGTCYTTAAKKTCCCTTCCAACCCTTAACAGTCTATGATTCTATGACTTGTCTTGGATGTTTTTATTCTGCAGCATCCATCATGTTTTCACCTCTTTGAAGTGAAATTCCCAGTCTTTCTCTTGGTAGATGGACCTYAAGGAAAATAAAGGAAGTAAATAACAATGGATGGCTTTTAAAAAGGTGTATGTTCTCAGGATTTTCCTTTTCCTCATACCTCCCTTCAGCCTCGTGCTGTCTCTGTCAATTCCTTCCATCCTGAAGTAAGCTCCAGTTCCCACAAACTTCAGGTGAACTTTGCTCTGGGGGCAGCAAATCTGCAGTTGAAAAAAGGACATTCCAGGATGGCTGAAGGACCAAAGGCAGGTGCCAGGGGAGAAAGGACCCAGCTGGGTGTTAACCCAGAAGCCCACAGGCCTCCAGGTTGCAGCATGYCTGGAGCACAAGTGCTGTGAGGATCTGGGGTTGTTTAGCCCAGAGAAAAGAAGGCTCAAGGGGAATCTCATCGYTCTCYACAAYYCCCTGAAAGGARGGTGTAGGCAGGTGGGAGTCGGTCTCTTATCGCAGGCAACRGGGAGACAGGATGAGAGGAAACGGMATCAWGTTTCACCAGGGGAGGCTTAGGGTGTGCATTAGGAGGACTTCCTTCAGAGAAAGGCCGATTAGACGTTGAAATGGGCAGCCCAGGGAGGTGGTGGAGTCAYCACCGTCCCACAGGACGTGTCACCTCAGCGCCAGGCTGACGCAGCGGTGTTCGCTCGCAGGTTGGACTCGGCGATCCCGGCGGTCTTTTCCAAGCCGACGGATTGTGTGCCTCCGTGGGTCGCTCCTCCCACCAGAGGGCGCCGGGGCCCCCGCTCGGTCCCGCCTGAGGCGCGGCCGCCATGGCGCGCGGGCAGGGGGCGCTGGCGGGCGGGAGAAGGAACAGGAAACCGGGGGCGGGCCCGGCCGCCCCCCCGCGCCGCCGCTACGCGCGCCGAGCATGCGCAGACGGGSCGGGCGCGGCGCTCCGTAACGGCGGGCGGCTGAGGAGGAGGAGGAGGGGGAGGAAGAGGCGGGGGGGGCGGCGGTAATAGCAGCAGCGCCTGCGCGCCCTGGGGCCGCCGCCGCCTCCGCAGCCTGCGAGAGAGACCGGATCCGCCGCCGCATCCTCCTCCTCCCCCCCCCCCCACCTCTTCCCCCGGCTGCCCGCGGTCGGGACGGCGAGGCAGAAGAGGAAGCGGCGGTCGGAGGTTTGTCCAGAGCGGAGGGGGTTGGGGGGAGAAGGATGGCGGTGGTGGCGGCGCTCCCGCGCTCGCGTCCGACCGCGCCGCGGCCGCCGGGCCCTTTCCCGTTCCCGCGGGGGGAACGACCGCCCCRAGGGGGTCTCGGTCCCGGGGGGGACCGCGGGGGCTCTGCGGCAGCCGCTCCCCCCGCCCGGGCGGGCGCGGCTCCCGCCCGCCCCCTCCCGCCGCGGCTGCTCCCGCCCGGCCGCCGCGGCCCCGCGCCCGCCGGGCACCGCCAGAGGTGGCAGCGGGGGCCGTCTCCGCGCTCTCGGGCAGGGCCGGCTCCTGGGAGACCAAGGAGGAGGAGAGGCCATCGGTATCGTCCCCAAGCCCCGAGTGCGGCGGTGCTGGAGGAACGGGAAGGTGCCCCCTTCCTTCTGGGGGAAGCAGGAAAGAGATTAAGGCAGTGGAGGGACGGGACGGCGCACCTGAGCATCGGGGAAAGGGAGGAAATGTGTTTCTTCGCCCCGAGTCCCGCATCGCCGCGTCCCGCAGGCCGGGAGCGGGCTGTGATGGGCGGGTGGGTGGGCAGCAGGGCTCCCCTTGGGCTGAGCAGGTGGGCATGTCGGAAACATTGGGGTCTGTGTGGCAGCGCTCTGAGGGACGCGGATCGTGGAGTTTTGGAGGAGAACAGCAGTGTAGTGGCATTGCAGTTTCTTGTAGCTGCCCCCACGTCCCTTCTCGTCTAGCAGCGTGCACGTATCCGCTGTGGGTACCTGCAGTGACCAAGGGTGGGCTTCTGTGATTGTACGTGGCTTTGAAGAGCCAAATAATTCTTAGTAAGCTTTTATGGATTAAATAGACATATAGTGTAGCTTTAAAGTTAGCACATCGGCATGCCTAAGATTTTTCCGGCGTTTACCATAATTTCTGCTATGAACGGGATAAATACCTGCTGCTTTTGAAATAACTTTAATTATGGTTTAGAAATGGGTTTGTGCTCTACTTAGCAAGTGCATTTTTAGAGGTTTTATTGCAAAGCCTCAGCTTGGCTTTTCTACATGATGTACATCTACTTTGTCTTCATAGTGGGCCTGAAAAGCCATGTGTTGTTGTGAACTCACCTAGGGTTGTATCTACATTAATTTTGTTCAGATAATGTATTTAAGAGATTATTAAAATGCACACTCAATGTAGTTCAATTTCTGATAAATGTATGTGGTGAAATAGGTAATTTTTARTATTTCATACACTCATATGCATAAATCAAGTAGTCTCACAATCTGAGTATAGGTGTCATACCTCACTCCTTGTTGTTTTTGTGTGTCAAATAGAAAGGGCCCTTTATACTCAAAGGATGTGAGCAGCATTTTTCAGAAACAGAGTAAAGATGAAGAAAAGATGTTGCTGCTTGTTTAATATTTTTAACTACGTTTTAGACAGATGGTTGTTGTTTTTTCTTTGCTGAAGCAGGCTTTTTTGTTTTGGTCATGTGATTATGAAACAGACTAGAATTGGTGCAAATCCTAAAATTTCTCTTTCTTAGTTTAGTGACTGTTATGCTTTGAGAATAAATTTCATATGCATGAATGTGATATCCATTATAACATTTAACCTTTCGGGAATGAACTTGCAATTAATTAAGCTATGTTAATGACTAATTAATTTCTTAATATAGAAATCCTTGAATTTATAGTTAAGCATCATATAGTGAGCATTTAGGAAAATGACACATACTTTTTTTTTTTTTTAACTGGAATTTAAGTTGTTAATTGAAACAAGCTAGCTTCATTAATGTACTAGAGTTCAGAGAAAAAAAAACCCCTTATATATACGGGATACATGGCTGGGTCTTACTGGAGACATCCATGGCCCACTTTTTTTCAAAGGTTTATTTTCCAAAACAGGTCAAGTCTTCCCACAAAACAGAAACGCCCTTGGGGATGGAAACTACCTGTGCTCAGCACAGAAGTCCAGTTGCCAATTGAAGCTGTTGGTTTATCATGTGCTAATTTTCTTTTTGAGCAGGTATTTCCTTTTAGTGTATAACTTCCTTTAGGAGCAGAAAAACTGGAGTGCATTGTGACCAAGCATGTTGTTAGCATGGCGTCTGACACTTTGGGTCTCTAGCTTCTGTGTAGTTTCAGAAAACTCACCTACCTCAAAGCTGTAACTCATCTCCCAAGCATAGTATGTATGGAAAATAGTAGGTTCCAAGTGAATAGTCATTTTCMAGATAACATTGTAAGACTAAATCTGTTCTTCTTTTTAATGAAATTTYACATTGTTGCCTTATTAGAATCTCCTTGATGTCCTCAGTTTTCTGGACTGCAGTGCTATCAAAGACACCTTTGATGGCTTTAGAGGAGAGGAAAACTTCCAAGTCTGGAGCTGCTTCATCAATTACCTATTTCTTTCTCACTGCCAAGGATGTAAATCTGATACATTACTCACGARTGTAGAGCTTCCAACTCCTTTTTTCTTTCTCTCTTTCCTATCTTTGAGATCTATTGGCTAGGTGTGTCGATTTACATAATTGATTCTAATCACTTCTACTTCTCACATTCCCCCTTGCTATTAGCTGGTGTAATAATTTTGAAACCCCTTGATTTGTAACTCAGAATATCCCTATAGTAACCAGGTATTAAAGTGCCTGAGCTRGGTACTGCATTGCTATCTGGGAGGATTGCTATCTCCACAAACACCAAGGCTTGTGTAGTTTGGCTTACGGTTGTTCAGGTATAAATTCTGACCTTTTATTATGTTTAAAATAGTGAATGATTCACTTCTTTAGACATGTTTTTACTTGTGATTTGTATGAAGCTGCCCTTGGATGGAAATAGGAATTTGATTGAAAGTGCACAAAATTAGTATTTAAAGTGCTTTTTTAAAAAATTAGTTAGAACCAGATTAAATAAATTGAATGTCCAGGAGTATAAGTTTTGGTTGTTGGGTTTTTAAATTTTTTCTTGCAGGCATATGGAAGATGAAGTATGTTTTTGAAAGTGTGAATTCTAGTTAGTGAAGTTAGAATTCAAGGGGTCTTCAGATGGCTGAAGATGCAGAYGGGAACCTGTGACACTTTCATAGATCTTTTACATTTTTTCCAGCAGTTGATGGGAAGTTGGGCATCTGATCTGACTTTTAGAGGACTTTTCAGTGTATCAAAATCTCAAAAAAAGCCCTAAAACAAAAGATGCCTATATATATTTTGCCCCTCTTATGATTTGAGGGGAAAATTATTTTTTTAATAAGTCCAGTTGAAGGATGTTGTATCTATATATCTAATATCTTTCCCTACCAAATTGGCAATGGTCAATATATCTATTCCATGTTACACATTGAAGTATAAGAGCTAGCACCGTCATGTATGTAATGCAGTATATATATCTCTGTTTATCAATCTTTGTCTGACCTCAGAAAATAAACAGTTTCAAGGAAGGCAATTAATAGCCTATCCCATAACTCATTAACATTTGATGACTAATTTTTTGAATGGTCTCATTCAGATTTGAAGTACATGAACAAGTGTTAACAAGCCACCTCATTAAAATACTTAAGCGAAAGGGAATAATTACTTAAAAACAAACCCTCTTATCAACGTGTTACTTAACATTTCTCTCCAGCTTGATAGGGAGGTACTTTGTATCACCCGCTGATTACTTGGTTTCATTTGCAATGCAGCATCCTGTGGCCTTCTAGCAGCTACCTGCCAGTCCTGTTCTGGATAGCTGGCTTCCAAGAAATTACCCAGAACAAAATGGTCACTCTGGTGACATCGTTRAAGGGGAAAGTCTCATTCCTACAACTGGTATTCAGGGATTATTTTTATTGTATCGGGATWTCAGTTTAGGATATGAAGCCAACTTCAGCCATAAATCTTTTCATCCATAARTTTGAAATATCCACAGCTGCATAGTTATTGAAGCTACAGCAGACAGTAGGGCATCTGTAGACATTYTCTCAAGTCCATAGCTTTTGATTTATCTCAGATCCAAGAACTGTACACCAACCAGGCACAGTGCAGTGAGAGAGATGTTGGATGGGGACTGGGAAATGCTAAGCCTCTTGCATTTCTCCTTTGGAAGTACATGGCTTTGGGCAAGCTGCTTCTTATTTCAATGCCTCAGTTTTTCAGCCTCTAAARTGAGGAGAGTACCTCCTTTAAAATTGTCTTGAATTCTCCAGAGATGTGAGRCAGGTAGGTAATCTTGGATGATTTTCCAGGCACTAAATGATTTTCCTACCACTTATCCTAATGTTTTGAACAGATTCACTTCTCTTGGGCAAATGACAATATAAATTATGGCAATTTTGGACCAGAAATCCATAGATCGTTGACTATGTACTTCCATTATGGAATATATATACATTTTTATATATGTATTTTTGTTACAAGGGAATGGGATGTGACTCCTGACTTTGTGACAAATATGAAACKTTGTTCTTTAGCAAATGGTTATTGTTGGCAGCAAAGCACAGTATGGATGTGGAAAGCAGAAATCGTGTACATTGCATGTTCCTACTGTGTGCAGTTCCCTGGAATATACAACAGATGGTTTCCTGTAAACCAAGGACTCCAGCTTTGTAAATGTACAGTTCAGAGGTGATCCACATCACATAAATGTTCTGCAACAGRACTCCTGTCATCTCCTCAATCTTTTCTGCTACTGAGGGTCGTACTCAAATGTTCCAGTTATTTATAGTAATTAATTTCACAGTTTCAACTTGGCTTCTGCTGAACAGGTCTGCTTTTTCAGTTATTGACTGTCAGGCGCACGCTGCCAAAAATGTTTTTAATCTTACTAGCAGGTGTATATCAATTTCTCTACGCCATCCTTGACTGGTTTTGGTACCTAATGACTGAATGAATGCATAATAATTTGCTTCTTTTTTTCCTGTTTCTGAATAAATATTTATATTCTTTACAGTTACATCAGAAAAGGAAGTTATGGTATCAATGAGTTCTTTTGCTAAAGTTTAGTATTACTGATGCTCTGCCCAAACAGAGCTTAATCCACCAGCTTGTATTGTTCTTGAAACTTTACTCCTAAGCCAGGAAAAACAATGCTGCAGAGAGACTCGGGATACCAGCAAAACCACAAGCTATTTATTTCCGTGGGCCTAGCACACTTAGGAAGTCTGTGCGCCTCTGTTGCTGTTTAAAGTTCAGTGCAAAACCTGTCAGTGGGTTGGATTGCATGGTGAGCTGTTCTCAGAGTACTGGGAGAGCGGGCAATAGTGCAGAGATGGGATGCACACTGACTTGGTGGAAAGAAGCTGTGACCTGAAGGAGGTCATTGCTTTAGATGGAGCAGCATCTCTATATCCTCAATATATTTATGGTTTAGTGACTTCAGAGGTGACCTGAAACTTAAAGGTCTTCAGTCAAGACTTGTGCCAGTGTCTTATTGTAGCACACGGTGGTATCTACTCCTTCCCCCAAATATTAGCACCTTTTCTTTTTGCACTGTTTTCCAGTTTAACGACCAGAGAAAACTAAGTGTTTGAGATTCCTGTTTGTGTATATTTATCACTGAAAAAGAAAAAAGATCAGGGACACTAAATTAGTAGTAATTAARGTGGCATTAATTTAACATATCTGTTTCAAGTGAGTGAATGTTGAAAGACAGCTGTTTCTGAAGTATATTACAGGGCTGTGTTGAAATAATAGATCTTTGATGTGGCTGGCAGGTATTTCTACAGCCTTTGTCTCACACTAAATCTTGGGTGAAGTGACATTCCTTAAATTCCACACAAAAATACAAGTTGTTTCTGCATTCTCTGTTCATCATGACCAGTAGTGATAATGATATCTTAGACATAAGACAAACATGTCCTGGTTATTCCTCAGTTTTGGAATGCAGAGGAACTGTGCAAGATTAAATAAATCTGGAAGCATTTGATAGCTGTAGTACTCTGGTGCCCATTATGATGGTAATTTTACTGTCACAACTATCCCATGCTTAATTAGGTTTTTGTGTTCACTTGGAAGATGAAATAAAACCTGACCCCATTTTTCAGAGGAGGAGAAATGTCCAAACAAGAAAATAGAYTTTGGTAGCCACTGTAGGTGTTTTGAGCCCTGCTATTCCAGCAGGGAATCCCTTTGCTCCTATTATTTCCTTATTTTACTTTTCTCCTGTGTGCAGCAGTGAAGCTTACCTGGCTGTATGGAAATTACTTGGAAGGAAAAAAACCAGAATGTGAAATATTAATAGGTRAAGCCCTTCTGCATGGAGCAGATGAATTAAATAAGCATTAGAAATATAAAGGTTTAGGGTTTTTTAATTTGTGAGGTTTTATAATTCTTAGCACTAGTTCTGCTTGATCTTTACTAGAATACCAGTGGTAAAATGAACAGGTTGATGATGATGTTGAAAGTTTAGTTGGAAAATAATGGAATGTTGAAGATACTGCATTTATATTTTTAGTTGCCTGGTATTGATAAGCTTTTAGTAGATAAAAAAATACAGAAGCAGAAAAAAATCACTGTTTAATATAGGAATGGAAACAAAGGTGGCTATCTTATCAATGGTTTAATGAAATTCACAGGTAYATTCAGTGGGAAATCTGGATAATTCTTTGAGGAAGAATAGTCTTACTGAATGTTGTTTAAACTCTGCAGCCTTAGGAGCTTTGTTGACAAAATAAATTATTTTAATTTGTGAGTCTAAGTCATATGAGAATTAATGTACAGACTCCTCTGCTTTTCATTTCTCTTTGATACCTTTGTTGTTTAATTTTCTTTTTTAGAAGGGTTTTCTTGCAAGTAATGAAGTACTGATTTAGAAATGTTTATTAGACAATTACCTCTAAGGGGTAACTATAAAAGGTTTTTCAAAATGTGCTAATGTGTAAATCAATTCTATTTTCCTGCTTTCAGTCAATCAAGTGCAGCCACTGATCACGAGATGTTACCACGAAATCTACCTCAGACTTCACTTTTGCTCATTCATTTGCTGCGTCATAGATTTCAACGGGAGCTCTGCAGACACTCTTGAAAGTCTCTGAACAGATTGGGACATCAAGTCAAAGCATGATGACCTAATAGGAGGTCAAAGTCTCAAACATTGATTCAGCAGTTCAAGATAACACTGCCCTTTTTATCAGTATCACTTCTGAAGGCTACAGACCTCCCGCAGTTTCTTTCGTGGCTACTTCAGAAACACTCAACTGACCTTTCTTTGGTGAAGAGATCTTGACTTTTCTCTCTGGTCCTGGAAATATTAATGGAATACAGTCATGTCTACCCAGGACGAGAGGCAGATAAAYACAGAGTATGCTGTATCCTTGCTGGAGCAGTTAAAATTCTTTTATGAACAGCAGTTGCTAACTGACATAGTGTTGATTGTGGAGGGCACTGAATTTCCCTGCCACAAGATGGTTCTTGCAACATGCAGCTCATATTTCAGGTAAGTATTCAAATGCTACRAAATCTGTGGTACCTGGTTTTGAGTGTAATAGTCATTGATCAACAATGTGTTGTAGAGACTTAAAGATCAATGAAGTAAGTGAGAAACCTAAATATCCTTCTCAATACCAAAAGAGTAAAATAAAATTTCCAACATCCTGTGACTTACACTAGATAGTTATGATAGTTCCTACAATAAATGTGAGGGAAAGAAATCACACTTGTGATKGCTCATTTTCTTTAGGGAGTTAATKTAGTCTGAATAATTAGTAAATTTCTTATTCTTCACACTTAATCTTTAAAATACTTAATCTGTTTTTATTTCCCAAGGTAGGATAACAAGGGATTATTGAGACTTGGCTGCGGGGATTCCATTGTCATGTTTAACTRTAATTTCTTAATAGAAGCATCTGCTAAAAGTAGGGATTGCTATGCAAGTTCATGGCTTTCTTTTCTGAATCATCTGATTTTCTCTGCTCAGCAAAGCCAGAAACTCTTCCCTTGCTTGAGTGTTGCAGCCATGCGAGAGGAGTTTTTCTGAGTGTGGTTTGGGTTATTTTTTTTGTTTCATGTCACCCCCGCCCAGATACAATTGAAACTTTTAGTTCTGTAGCTCTTGTTTTCTAAATGTCTTAGTTTTGGTCTTGAAACATTTTTGTTAATAAGATACATTAAATACTACTACTTTTTGTAAATATGTTCATCACCTGGGTGCTGAGGCACCATGAATTTTCTGCAGAGATTAATCATTTTTTGTTGGCAACACAGTATAATTAMTCTGCCTGTCTGGAAGGAATTTTGAAGCCTGAGACTAATATTGGTGACATCCACACACGTTTTACCTTCCTGATGCATTGTGGARGGATTATAAGTTTTCTTTCCTGTTTAATCACAGGAAGGTTTGCAAATTTACTTTTCCTGAGATAGGCTTAGTATATAACACAYATCTAAGATGTTCTCTGTATTTCGTCTCCTTTCTTGTGTAAAAAACTGTTCAAGGATTAACTTATTACTTTCACAGAAATTTTTGTCACTGCTGGGTTTTGTGTTTATTTTTTTCATCTCAGATGAATCTGATCCAATTTTTATCAACAAGTATTGTGTGATCACTAGATAATAATTATTRCCATTGGCCTTGTGCAGATGACATAGTTCTAACAGTTTGTAAAATAACAGCCATTGGAAATGTAGCCAGATTTAATGTGGGTGGTTAATCATAAGGTTGGAAAGCTGTCATGAGTCCACGCAGTGTGCTGCATCAGAATGTGCAGTCAAATCTCTTATTCATATGTGTTTGTTTATTATTTATGGAATGAGGTTTTGGCACTGGTTAAAAGAATATCAAACTTGTGGTTTTGTCATGTTCTGTTTTTCTTYTCTACTTTGGTTTACAAAAAGATGCTCCGCTTCCTAAATTTAGCTTTATTATGAAAAATTGATGCCCYTGAAAGAGGGGCAAGAAAAGCAAAGCATCTTTTGGTGTGATCCAGCCATTGCATGTGAATGCAGCCAGCTTACCGTCCATCTTTGTGTCTGAGCCATGTGCAGCCCTGCTCCAGCACAGGCTGCTCAAAGCGCAGAGCCAGTACCCAAGAGCTCCGTCTYCCTCTCCTTTCTCTGTACCCTCTTGTTTACATTTAAATAGCTGCACAGCAAGCTGATACTSAGTCAGTGATCCCTCCTAAAATGTAAGTTGCCCTGAGCTAAGGAGCTTAGAAGAAGACAGAGAAATGGGGGTGGGATACTGTCTTTTTATCAGATGCTTTCTGGAATGGCTTTGCCTAGGGGGTGTATCTTCATGACCCCTTCACTTCTGCAGCCGAAGGCAGGACTGAAAGGTGCACCCACTGGCCCTTATAACTTCTTCATGCCTGGTTTCCTAAAAAAAACCAAAACCAAMCAAATAAATATAAAGAGGCTCAAGCTGAATTTTTAACACAACCATAAATACCAAACCGGAATCCATATAAAGCTCTTGAAACCAATGTCTCCTATTTTAAAGAAAACTGGCACGTATGTGGTTTATAATACCAGATTCCAGTAATTGTAACTATGTTACAGTTAAAATACCAGAATGGGCCATAGGTGTGTAAAGCATTARGAAAACAATAACCATTTTTAAAATTGCCTTTCTAGTCTTTTTCAGGAAGATGTAATGGAACTGCTTGCTTTTTTTTTTCCAGACTAGGAAAGTCTGCTTGCTTTTTTTTCCAGCTAGGTTTTTCTGTTCTTGATTTTTGTCTGCAAATTTGAAGTTTACTGCATGTTACGATAAATGGTATATAAGATATAATTCATAGACTGCTAGTCCTTGCTCCATTTCTTCTCCCAGAGGAGCATYCTTTTTGATATGACTTAGCTCAGTCCATTACATAAATCTGCTTCTTTTGTTTTAGAATCCAAAATCTAGCTGTGTATGTTTCAATAGTATTTTCTGGTGGGTGTTTCTTCCCTCTTATCGGTCATAGAAAAAGATTTAAATTGCATCATTAAAACTCCAAAATARTTAGAACTCTCTGCTGATTACCACAGAAGAGTTTGCGTGAATATGTTTCTACAGAAGGCACTGATGGTACTTGAACGTTCTGTTCAAATGTTTTATCTTAAACAGTAGATGTTAGCCTAAGGTARATACCAAACACCTGTAAACAGGCCAGCAAAAGGACTGTTCACCTTTAGGAGTGTAAGGCTTACAGGTAACTATTTAAGATTACTCTACTCTCTGCTGATCCTTGTCTTAATGTGTGTTTCTCCTCAGAGCAATGTTCATGAGCGGGCTGAGCGAGAGCAAACAAACACACGTACATCTGAGGAATGTGGATGCAGCCACTCTGCAGATCATCATCACTTATGCATACACGGGTAACTTGGCAATAAGTGACAGCACAGTAGAGCAGCTCTATGAAACTGCCTGCTTCTTACAGGTAGGAATGTTTGGAGGATGAAATAACAGCTTCTAGTCTCTGAACCATTTTATTATTTATCTTGATTAAAAAATCTTTCCTTTTTGGTAATTTCAAAATACTCTTGTCCCATTTTCTCAGTATAGACAGCAGTTGCATGCCAAATTTGCTTCATGTAGCCATCCCTCCTTGCATTACAGTCCCTTTGGAGGGTTGGAAGTAAACCAGTGCAATTCTAACATTTAGAAGATCACTTTTGGCAGCAGACMTAATCATGTTGTGTACTTGATCCGTATGAAGCAGTTGAGTGAGTCACTACTGTATTTTTGTGTATGCATAGTATTTCAGGCCTGAACTGTGTTGTTCAACACCAGATGCAGGTACTTTTATGTGCTGTTGCTACATGACAGTATAGATTGTGTGTGTAATACTTCGTGTGTTTCTTCTTTGSATTGCAGGTAGATGATGTGTTACAACGATGTAGAGAATACTTAATCAAAAAGATCAATGCAGAAAATTGTGTGCGTCTATTAAGTTTTGCTGATCTCTTCAGCTGTGAAGAGTTAAAACAGAGTGCTAAAAGAATGGTGGAGCACAAGTTCACAGCTGTGTACCACCAGGAGGCTTTCATGCAACTGTCACATGATCTACTGATAGATATTTTAAGCAGTGACAATTTGAACGTGGAAAAGGAGGAGACAGTGCGTGAGGCTGCTATGTTATGGCTGGAGTACAACACGGAATCACGCTCGCAGTATTTGTCCTCTGTTCTTAGCCAAATCCGAATYGATGCACTTTCAGAAGTAACACAGAGAGCCTGGTTTCAAGGCTTGCCACCTAATGATAAATCAGTGGTGGTGCAAGGACTGTACAAATCGATGCCCAAATTTTTCAAGCCGAGACTTGGCATGACAAAAGAGGAGATGATGATATTCATTGAAGCTGCTGCTGAAAACCCTGGTAGTCTTTACTCTTCTGTCTGTTACAGCCCRCAGGCAGAGAAAGTTTACAAACTCTGCAACCCTCCCGCTGACTTGCATAAGGTTGGGACGCTTGTAACTCCTGATAATGACATCTATATAGCAGGTGGGCAAGTTCCTCTGAAGAACACAAAAACCAATCACAGTAAAAGCAGCAAACTMCAGGCCGCCTTCAGAACTGTGAATTGCTTTTACTGGTTTGATGCGCAGCAGAACACTTGGTTCCCAAAGACGCCGATGCTGTTTGTTCGCATCAAGCCRTCCCTGGTGTGCTGTGAAGGATACATCTATGCAATTGGGGGAGACAGCGTCGGCGGGGAGCTCAACAGGAGGACTGTGGAGCGGTACGATACCGAGAAGGACGAGTGGACCATGGTCAGCCCCCTGCCTTGYGCGTGGCAATGGAGCACGGCAGTGGCAGTTCACAACTGCATCTACGTCATGGCACACAACTTGATGTACTGCTACTTCCCCAGGTCCGACGCCTGGGTGGAGATGGCTATGCGACAAACAAGCAGATGTTTCGCTTCAGCTGCTGCTTTYGGCGATAAGATATTCTATATCGGAGGACTGCACATTGCCAGCAATTCTGGTATAAGGCTCCCCAGCAGTACTGTGGATGGGTCTTCGGTAACAGTGGAGATCTACGACGTGAATAAAAACGAATGGAGGATGGCAGCCAGTATCCCTGCCAAGCGCTATTCCGACCCGTGCGTCAGGGCCGTCGTCATCTCCAATTCCTTATGTGTCTTTATACGGGAGACCCATATGAACGAGAGAGCCAAGTATGCTACCTATCAGTATGACCTGGAACTCGACCGCTGGTTCCTGAGGCAGCACATATCAGAACGTGTGCTGTGGGACTTGGGGAAAGACTTCCGGTGCACTGTAGGAAAGCTGTATCCATCTTGCCTTGAAGAGTCCCCGTGGAAACCTCCAACGTATCTCTTCTCACCAGACGGAGCTGATGAATTTCAGCTGGATGGGGAGATGGTTACTTTACCACCTGTATAGCTCCCARATTAGACTGCACAACCGTGCTCATTTATAAAATAATAAAAGGAATAAATGGCTGTGAAAGAACAGGTCTGGGAACAGAAATCTCAGAGCTGTCTTTCGTGAGTTGTATTTTTATGCCCTACCTAACACTTGCCGCCATTCAGTATGAATTAGTGAAATGAGCAGATATGCTTCCATAATCTCAAATACTATTATCTGATAATTGAGAAAAATATATGTATATCATAAGCTTAAGCATCTGACTTGTCTAAAGAATAAATTCTAGTTCTATAAAGTCTCGGTTCAGGAAAATTAGCTTCAGAAAAAAAGTAGTTATKGTTTCTAGGATGATGTCACAACTCTTTTGAAAGTATCTTCCAGTTATATTTGAACTACTTCTGGATATTCTACTTAAGTGCTAGTTATATAATTGTCAGTGTGGCCTAATTAAAGGACTGTGCTGCACTTACTAAATACTAATATCTATGTTGGTATAGTAATGCCATTAAAAGAAAAAGAAACAAATCCCATGGATCTACCTGTGGTAGGAAGGGTAGATCTTCCATTGTATGGTAACATGCTGGGTAAAATGACTGCAGGTTCAGTCAAGCTGTATGATGAGGTGCATGTATTCTATTTTCACTAACTTATACCTGTCTATTTAGAATACAGGTCTTCCAAGCAGCTGGTAGATTACCAGGTGTGGACTTAAGTTGCTGGGCTTGCAATAGGAATTGCCAGCCCTCATAGTGCGGGTCTGTGTGGGGCTTTAATCAGTAAATGCCTCCACRTTATGTATTACAGTAACATTGGCTCATGTATATTACTTCCTGCTGCTGATGTATTTTTCCATTGTAAAACAAAAGTTTTAGTGTGGATTAACCAGGTCTTTATTTTCTGTTAATTTAATAACAAGCATTACTGTAGTGTGATTGTGTATAGTTATCCCTTAGCTGTCAGGTTTTTTACTTTGGGGGGGAAGCAAACTTCAGGAATATCCTGTGCTGTGTGTGCAGGAGAGCAGATGCCTAGTGCTGCTCTGGCATTAATTCCAGGAACCACTAGCAGTAGCGGGGTGCCGCCAATGTAACATGAACACAGGTGCTTCATGACAAACCTTACTAGCATGTTCAGCTGCATCATGTTCTGGCACTGTATTTTGAATGACATTAATTTATTAAAAAAGACTGAATCCAACTGCCTGAGTATGCTTTTTGGTTGAAATAAATAGAGCTATGCCACCCTCCCACCACATGCACACTTGTAGTAAGTAGCTTATTGAAGGCAGCTAGAAATATTTAAGCTGCAAAAAGCCTGGAGACGAGTATGTTAAGTTGACTGTGCTCACTAGTCAGCAAAAGCTGCAAATTAGGTATTGAAGTCAAACTGAGGATTACATAAACTGGAATCCCCTGCTATCACTTTTGTAAATCAGCACTTCTCCAGTCATACAAATTCTGCCTTCCTGAAAGTGAAGAACAGCAGGTATTAAGGAGGTAAGGAGGAACATTTTTGTTAAGTTCCGAAGATGCCAAACCTATTTTCAGTCTTCAATAATAAAGAGCAAATTTTTTTACTCCATTGTCCAGACTGGCACTAGCTTTTCCGTAATTGTTTCTTATTGCAGTAAATRTAACTGCTGCCTTTAACAAAGACAACACCCATACATTGTTTGGGCTAGTTCTCAAGGGGCTTTGCAAAGTTTTGTCTCATACAGTTATTAAAGGTTTTGACTAGAAAAGGGACTTCAGATAAGAAAAAACTGCCTTATATAAAGCTCTTCCTRATGCCTTGGCATTTTGTACCATCTGAGGATTTACAGGACCCAAAGTAACGGTGGCAAGCTACCAATTTTTTTTTTATGAAGGTGACATAACATGTTTGCATTTACCATTACATAAACTTCTTTTTAACACCTACCTTGTTTTTAGATAAGACATGTGAGGTGACTCGGGCTCCTGCTGATAGGTCTGTTCATACTGCATTCATGTTGCAAGCTTGTGCAAGGGAGCATACATGAAAAGAAAGGCAGCGATACTCCTTTATAAAGCAAGTTGGAGAATCACGTACCTCAGGCAAAAACATGAGGTGTATCCAAGTAACTTTGCCCGCATGGGCTGCTCAGTTCTGTGGCTTGTTCTCACTTTACCTTACTGTTATCAGGCTGCATTAGGCTTTAGGACAAGCCTTTGTTGTTTAAGTGTGGATGATCTGTAGCTAGTGAAGGAGCAGACTGGGCTTGTTCTGTTACTGAGAACTTTCAATTTGAGTTTAAAATCTTAAGTGTAGCTTCTTACCAGAGGAAAACAAAAAAGGGTGAATTTCAATCAGAAATAAATACTGAACAGGAAATAGTAAATTGCAGTGGTCCTAAGTCACAATTGCCTCACAGAACCTGGAAGAACTTGATTTTATCCACTTTAGGAACATCTTTTGAAATACAGGCAGTCTATGTGACTTCCTGCTAGTCTATTTTTTTTTTTTTTTGCCTTTATGTCACCTGTATGTTTTGTATTTAATCAGCCTCAAGATTATGTAGTACCTCATTTAAAATTAATTTGCTAATAATAATATGGTATCTAAAGACAAGACTAGTCAAGTGATCAACAGTTCTCCAGGGACTGCTAAAGACATACTTAGAGTTAGTTCAGTTACACAACTAGTTGCTGAGCCAGTATTCAGCCCCAAAGGAAAACAGTTGGCAAATGCTATTCTCAAGTCCAAATTCTTTCCTTGCATAATTCAAGAAGGAAACTGCAGGCAAAGCATTGTCATCTGCCTGGAAGTGGTCACTAGCAGCAGAAATAGAGAAAGACTTTTGCAGGAACAAAGACAACAGATGAAAAAAATGCAATTCTCATTTCATAAGCAGAGCAAATACAATTAAAGCCTTCACAGAGTTCTAACTAGTGTCTTACTAAAAAGCTTCAGCTTAATCTTAGCCTGTTCAACCTGTACTTGGGTTCGWAGTACATTTACATACAAGTTTCAATGAATCAACTAATGTCCTCAAGCTTGCTACATCTGCAAAAAAGTTTACCTCTTTTCTTGAAAGCTAATTTAAGTCAGTCCTACATGGTTTCAGTTTCCCTTACCTACAGTAATAAAAATGTGATTGGCCTCTGCTAATTTTTAATGCATTCACTAATTCTTTCCAGTTTGTTTAAATACAAAATGCAATTGCAAATTTAATTTTTGTTRTAAGAGGATCAGTAAGATCTGCAACAGTAAATTGTGCTGAGCTTTASAGAGAACAGGATCAGATGGATACGTAAGTTTGGTGGGAACATAATTTGATAACATTCTAATACTGTTAAGATTTAAGACACTACTGTTTTTCACAATATTTCTCATTTCACTTCTCAATGCCTCTGTTAAGATGCACAAGCACCTGCCACRCTGCAGTACATATAAGGAACACCTGTGGACAAACCTGCAGACCACTGAATTTATTAGCAAGCTAGTGTTTTTCCTCCTTTGTTTCCCATTTCCAGCTACCTTCAARTTGTTTTCTGTTTTTTGCTCTGGATTCCTACATGAAAGGAACTTCAATTTAGGCATACTCTGAAGCAGGCTAACCCTTAAAACCACTTTCTTTCCACTTCATGCTTAACATTAGCCACACAAAGTTCTGCTTAGTTCCACTTTCAGAACTATTTTAAATACCTCCCTCCTACAACATTTCTCATGAGCACAATTCAGCGAGGCAGAGTTCTTACAAAGCCTGTAAGCCAGAGAAGGAGTATCAGCAGACTCCATAAAATGCAGGGATGGCTCCTGATGCCAGGAACCAGCCGATACAACATCTGCACATCTTCACACACCTCCCAAGTTCCAGTATGGAAAAGGTCAGTGAAGAGCCCCAACCAGCAGGTGAGAGAAAGACCTTGGTCAGTATTGAGCCACAGAGCCTTTGATGTGGAAGAAAGAATGGGCAGGAAGGTGAAAGAGAAGAATCTCACCTGCTGCTCTATACCACACAGCCCTTGTAGACCTGGTCTAACTTGTGAGAGCAGGCACTTCTGTTGCAGCAGAGAAAGTTTWGCCATTGTAAACAAGGCCTTGCTGCAGTGCTGAAGTTTGACTGGTCACCTGGAGCATTACCTGACTTCATGTCCTCAAACTGGGAACTGTACTGGATACACACAGGCACTCTACTGCATTAATATGACCAAAGAGCCAGTAAGCAGGGCAGTAAAAGGTATTACTAATAAAATAAACCAACAATAAAAGGCAATGATGCAATATAAACCTTAAAGACTATTCAGATTGTGCTAAACATCAAGATAAATCTTGATACTGTGATTTTATTTGGGAAGTGCCAGAATCACAGCTAGCTAATTTAATGCTGAACATGTGTTTTTGCTGAAGAGAAAAAACCAAGAAACAATTTCCAACATTCAAGAGTTGCCATATGCTTCAGCCAGCTCTCTGGCACATGGCAAAATTCAYAGACACACAAATTATTCATAGCGGCAAAGGTCAGAAGCACAGTTCTTTTTATGGTATGTATGATAAGCCCAAGGTTATTTTTTGCCACTTTCTGATATGCCTGGACCATTAAATTCTGCACTGTATATCTGTGTGCATTTCTTCAGAAATGAGAAATCAACTGAAYTTCCTTCTCTAGTATTTTCCATCTWTTTCATACAGTATGCAAGTGATGTTATTTCCCATATTGTTTTTAAGACAATACCTGTACATCTGCTTCACATAACTGTTCTTCCTTCAGTCTAAACATTCTTACTTGATTATGCTCACCTGATCTAGAAAGCAATGCCCCATTGTTGGTGACCTGGATTAAGACAAGAAAATAAGATTTTGTAGGTGTTCTCTGCTACTGCTGAGGCAAACAGTAATTGTGCTTCATCAATATTAGTCAATAAATTCAGGTAGGGAAGTAAAAATAATAATAAAAAAAAAACTCACTTTGATTTTGAAGTATTATTACAAGAGGAGCAATGTATGATTAAASAATTTTGACTCAAGACAGCTAGACTTCCAAGTTCCATCCCAACTGAGATTAAGCCAATTGTGKACAGATGTTATGCACACATGATGAATTTACAGGGAATAAGGTAATCTGAATAAGGGTCACTATTTAACTGACAGAAGTCATCCATCTCTGTATTTTTTAATGAACCCAAAAACTGTTTCCGATGTTTGTTAAAGAATGGGGTCAAGACCATGAACATCACAGAAGTAAAGCTTTGTGCATGCTTTTTAAAGTCAGTCCCTTCTCTAATAAAGCATTAAAGACTCAAAACACCATGAAGCAATTTTTCATATGCCTTTAATCATAATACAATAATGTAGTGTTTTTCCCTTTAATGAATACTCTCCACGTTGCCCTTTTTAATGAAAAGCAAATACCTGCAAGAAAGTGAAACTGCAGTGCAAAAAAAACATGATGCAAATTTATCTTTCAGTGGGTTTGYACAAGTATTTGCACACGGTTGAAAAAAAACAGTAACAAATTTTAGAGAAGTGCAACCATTCTCTAGACATAACCTTAGTCTAATTCACATCTAAACGTTCCCCAAGGCAGTCAGTTTCCTCCTTCTGGAAACACCCATTTACCAAATCATTCTCAGACAGGTACAGCAACAGCTGCAGGAGAAGTTCTGCAGTTTTGAAACAGCTCACTATGGCAGAGAACTGGATGTGCAGCAATTAATTTACACAGCATCTTGATTTTGATCAGATGTCACAATCCACAGGAACTGCAAGTTACTTTGAAGCTAAATCTACACCAAAATTTTAGTTGTACTTGAAATTCTTACTGATGTAAAAGAGGTTGGTGACCTCCTGAGGACTTCAATCAATTCCCAAAGAGCAGCACCCCACAGGGAATAAAAAGTCATACAAGAGGATCCTCTTATCCTAAATTTGCAAAAAGCAGCATTCATAATCAGTTTAAATGGAAGACAAATTTCAAAAAGACTGCCAATAAATTACAAGCAGCTGCCAATATCAAAACCAGATGCCTGCAAGTGTCTTCTGGTAGAATTAATTTATTAAAATAATACAGCTTTTTGAGCAGACAGGAATTTAAATCGACTGGATGTATTTTATTTTTCAAGTAGCACGAGAAAAAATCAAATAAATTATTTGTATGTTCAATTATCAAGCAATAGTTTCTAAGTTAAACTGCATTCATACCTTCACTTTTATAATTAAATACTRCCACATTAGTTTCTCTGCTTAGTAATAGTTTGTATGGAAATCAGAAGCTTGTTTAGGCAAAATATTATATTTAATTACAAAGGTGCTTAAAACAAACATACAAAGTCAAACAAACACAATGTACCAGAACACTGACCTAAAAATTAAATTTTGATATTTGAGGAAACTGGTATAAGATGTGTACAGGAATTAAGGTTATGACATGAAAATGACTGATGAAAGATGCTGAACACTTTAGTCAAATGAAATATAAGGTCAGCAATACTTAAGTCTTGTAGAGTTTGGGGGACTTATATCTATTACGCTTAACAGGCAGTTCCTCAAATGCTGGCACAGCCAGAAAGCTGAGGGTGATGCCTCTGATGACAGAAAGTTGAGAAGTGTGCTATTGTATTACCTGTAAGTCAGTGTGTGCTGCATGTTGGCAGCCAAAAATACCTTTGCAACATCAAATCAGGACCGAGCTGTAACAACACCCTCACAGCTGACTGGTTAGAGGCACTGTCACCAATTCACCGCTTCTTACAGTGCCAAAATGGATGTCAGCGCTTTTGAAATGGATGTCGGCTGCCTAAATCTTTCTGAATAATTAATAATACCTGCACTGGAAATTTTCAAACAGAGGAGAGGAWAATAACTTGCATTTGCACTGGATTTAACTAAAGAGGTTACAAGCACTAAATTAAGAAAAGAACTACATGAGCTTAGGTGAACCTCAGTGCCTTCATGCCTTCCTACAGCCCAAAAGGAAGCTTAAGCAAAAACTGGAGAGCAAACACACATGTTAATGAACACAACTAATTATGAAGAATCTAATTAAGAACATCACTTCATCTCCACTCACTCCATGAGTCTTAATCACTGTTTAAATATGAGTTTAAATCTGAGTCCAACTGCTAGCAGGGTGCCAGTTCTTAAAAAGACTGAAACGAAATAAAAGTTTTTTATTCTGTCATTTGTAAAGAAAGGAAAATAAACAGGTTGTATGTTTGGTTCTACGACAGAGAAAAAAATGCTGCAGAGAAAGATCTGTCTGATCTTCTTGTCCATAAGAGAAAAATTGTGAAGAATCACAACGGAGTCACYGTACAAAGCAACAAGCAGCTGATGAGGGCCCCTTGTTCTGTCTTTCCTGGGATTAACGCACCAGAAAACAAACAAACAAATGAAGGTCTGCTTTCTAAAACCCCTAGGYCAGCAAGGGAATCTGCAGGAATAAGGGGAATGCAGAGAGCTAGTAAATCTGCCATATAAATTTGGAGCATAGGAAAATTCAACAGAGAAAACTCAGGAAGGGAGGTGACAAAGTTAAGGATATTGAGAAGGGATCCTTGAARGTCCTGCTTCTACAGCTTGTACATGTGAGACCAACCACTTGCCCAGTTTCTAGAACTCACCACTGTGAGCTCCTATACTCAAATCTACCCAGGCATGCCTTAAGTTGCTGAAGTTAATTTTATAGGTTCTGAAATCCTTTAGGCACCTCTCTTCAGTCTGCATTACAACCTGGACCCTGACCACCTAAATCCCAAACAGCCGATAATATGTTAGTCATTTCACAAAAGCAAGTGATTATTTTGGGCTATTTTCTTGTCTGCATGTGAACCAGAAAGCTCTAGACCCACCATGAATAAACAGCTTTAGTCTTACCTCACTGCATCTAAAGTAATACCTAGTCTTTGAAAATATATAAATGTCTATTACAGAGTTGTGGAATAAGACAGAAAAGAGCATCAGAAGTTTTAGGGGATATACACAGACACACAGAGACCTGGAGCAAGAGTTGCAATTTGATAGATACATCTTACTTTTGTGTCAGAAGCAATAAATTAGCAGAGCTTTAGGGGCCTTTTTTGCCCTTCTCAAATCAAATTATTCCAATTAGCTCTTTACTTTAAAGTTTTCCACAGTCATTCTATTTAGTCTGTCCTGGAAAAAAATTAAAGGCATCTTTAAACCAGATCCCATGTTTCCAAATCACTGAAGCAAAACAACTGAAAACCAAGTTGCTGGACAGTGACAGTATGATGCAAGTGTGGCTTTTCTGTTAGCTTTACAAATGCACATGAGAAATTAAAACATAATTTCTTAAAAACATTCAAGCCTTCTTGTTTATCTCTTGTACAGCTGCTGTATTTTATTTGAAGAATAGGAGAAATAACCATGACAACAAATCTTGGCCCCAGAAAAGAACATGGCAAAATGCTGACAGATACTGATGAGGCAATAAACTAAGAGCCTTTTGGTAGAGAAAAGTTGGAACACTTGATAATGTAATGTAGAAAATGTTAAGAGCAACTTGTGGGGATGAAGAAGGCATAGAGAGGCACGCACATTGCAAGAAAACAGGAAATAATCTCCCTTGGAATCAAGAAATGTAGGAAGTGCAATTCGCTTGCATACAGAAGACACCCCATGCATGTTACATAGGAAACACAGCATTATGCTACTTCTTTTCCAATAAACTATTATATTTCTTCACACAAGGATACAAACTGAGCTGTTCTAGTTACTCTCAATTCTAGTGATACTTTCCTTATGAAAAAAGCAATTATCCAAATAGCACATTCCCTGAGTCGACACAGAAAATCCACATAGCTGATTTTCATTTGGAAGAGTCCTCAACACTTCAYTGGGAAAAAAATAACCACACAGAGTTTGCTACTGTGCTCGTTTTGGGTGGGTTTAGTAATTCATATTCATATGTATGCAACTACATTAATGTTGTAATTATATCCTAATAGAGCAGGACCTCACAAAACTGTCTATGATCCAATCCCAATTTGGGAGAAATGTCTCGTAATACTTTCCCTGAAGAGATCTCTTCAACTGGAATCCCATTCACATCYCAGGGGAAAAACTCAGCCAAACCATATGCAAAGTTACGAAGGCCTACTGCATAACATGAAGAAAACTACTGATTTTGCAACTATCACACAGATTTGGAGACACAAAGAGAGCTAGAGAGAGATTCACTCTAATAATTCTAAATGGATACAGAGAATAGAGGAAAAAAACCCCTTGTCAGCCACAGTCTTACTCTGCACCTTGTTAATTTCAGTTTGCACATAAAAGCAAGAAAGTTCCACCCTTTAAGGGTTGCAGAGTTTCTCTCAAATCCAACCTAAAAGAAGAATTATTAATTATATTCTGCTTATTTCTAACAAGAATTCACAAACATTTGGCTATCTGGATTGAAAAATATAACTACTTTACATAAATATCTTCAACATCCAAGAAAATGTACAAATCTAAAGTCAAACACATTTGGCTTGCAACAAGCCCCATTTGCTAATGTCTTTATAAAGGCTCAGTTTTAAAGAAAAGTAGTCATTTTAAATATAACCAATATACTGCAAATGCCATCCCATTGTATGGTGACACCATTCTTCTATACTTCTAGTGAAAGTGAATAATAACATTCCACATCTGCTTGCAAGCAATATATACCTTATTTTGGTCCTGGGTAGTTAATATCCACTCCCACATTTTGGAGTGGTCTTTTTACAGCTCAGAGAAAGATTGCACCTGAAATAGTCAGCAGCATTCTGCCAAACCAGCACTTAGTCCCCAAGGCTTTGGGTTGACTGTGTGAAAGTGGAAAACCATGAAGACATAGCTGATTTTGCACTTGTGAAGGCTCCTCCAACAGACTGACCTGCAATACAAAACAAAGATCAATAGTGAAGGGTTATCTTTACAAAGTTGCTACAAAGAAATACTAAAAAAAATTTAAAAATCACTCAATCAGTTGTCCAATTTAAGATTTAAAATCCAGTTCTAGAGTCTGAGTCAGAAAATGTTCAAATAACTTGAACAGAGTAACTCAGCAGAAATGGCCTACAATGCCCTTTGGCTGGGAAGGTTTGGTAGATTTTGGGCTGAAAGGCACTCCTGGCCAGAGTGCATCACAGCAAAAAGACAAGACAGACTTCAAAAAAATAAAAGAGAAAGTTCAACAATCTTTGGCWCAGCCATTGCCAAACAACTATCAGACCCCTTAATAGGTAAACTCCCATTATCTTGCCCTGCAAGATAACAACGTGATGATGCCCCTGTTCAWGTGCAACAGGTGCTTTTCCAGAAAATTACAGACTGTTGCAAAATCTGCAGAAAATGACACAAGAACTTTTTCTGACCTCTACCAGCTTTGTTTCAGTCCAAGTGATATAAATGTGAGAATAACACAATGCAGAAGGTGGTGTGGTCAAAGATAACATGGAATGTCTCTTCCCATATTCAGCTCCAGGCCACATTGCTTTTCCAATGTACACTAATTCCTTTGTCTAGCTGCTTCTCTTTCCACTATTACATTATTTAATTGGCCTCAATCAGCAGCTTCACCCTTTGAAACTTTGCTCTGATTTGTGTGTATGCTATAAAATACACTTGGATTAAAACAACATACAACTGAGAAATAGGATGCTTCTTCAAAAATTACACGTCTTAGATGGAARCTGATTTAAAATACATTTCTTACCTACAGCTTTTCCTGTTTGTACAACATTCCGGCTGGTAGAAACCATCACATTTCCAATCTTCTTTCCACGTTCACTGTTTTGCACTGAGCTAAACGAAAGAGATACTGAAGACTGTTAGTTGACTGACTTCTKATTACTCCCATGTGTAAATAAATTCATTAAAGTATGTATCATTACACACAGTTTTATAGAGCATATACATATATATAGCTCATATATATATGGTCAAGTCCAATTCCTGCATTCATCTTATCCACAGGGATCAGTTGGGCAAGCTTCCCAGAGGAAGAAAAGATGCTGCCAGCAGGACAACAAATCAAAATGTTTCTTTCCAAATGAAAACYCAATGTTTCATTCTCATACAGTACACTTTCAACTTCTCACAGATTCCATCGGGTTGGACAAGACCTTTGAGATCAAGTCCAACCCATGATTGAACACCACGGTGTCAACCAGACCATGGCACTGAGTGCCACRTCCAGTCTTTCCTTAAACACCTCCAGGGATGGTGACTCCACCACCTCCATGGGCAGCCCGTTACAATGCTCACTCTTTCCTAAATGTTTACCAAAATACATTTAGCATCTAAATTACAAACTCAGATTTGCAGCAGTTTTGAGAATTCTCAGCCCTAATACATGAGCTTCAAACAGAATAGCAAGTGTTACTGATCAATCCTTTTTTTTTCTGAACAGATTTTACTTTGTACCTTTGTCTAAGATTATTTTTTTTACCAAGGACAGTTTACACTCATGCTTTTGTTAAAGAAATGCAAGAAAATAACAGACATTATCATCATTTGGAAAGAAAAGTACAAAAGRAATCAGTTTTACAGTTCAAGTACAATCACTTGAAAATAATCTCATTTAGATTTAAACTGTAACTTTCAAGTCCACATTTCAGGCTTTGCAAACCCCTTAATGTGAAACTTAACAACACATCATGCCATATTCTTTTTCCATTTTCAAAAATTTCAGTGTAGATGGAAAAAGTAGAAAAACCAGAATACACCAAAACCAAATTTGGGCTCAGTTTGCAAAGGCACGTAATTCTGATGAGGATCTATGATCTAAGTCCCATCTGCAGAATAAAGGCAATGTTGTCAAAATACTCAGAAGCACACTATGAACTACTGGTCCTTTTACATTGTGATCTCACACCATCCAGAAGAGTTAGTAACTCCCCTCTCAAACAAGGCAACAAAAATAGGCCAACATTACAGACACCTCCAGAGCTTTCAAATTAGGTCTTTGAAGAAAGATCATTCATTAATAAAAGAGAGAGACAGAGAGAGAGAGAGAGAGAGAGAGAGAGAGAGGGAGAGACTGTTGTTTTATGGTTCATCACATTTAAGTGAGAAAATAATCCATTTTGCCTGGTGCATAAACCCCAGCCTGAATTCTGGCTTTAATCAGAGTTGAACAGCTACAGCAAAAACAAGCACCCTTGAGCTTTGGACTTGAATTCTATTGGCGGCCGTTGCCACCAACTTAAAGTTCAGCTGAGTGTAGTACAGCAAGAAACTATGCAAAACTCATTTGAAACTTGTAAATTGAAGGAACTGAACCACATCTCAGTATGCATACAGTGAACTTTGAGTTTCAGAACAATGCTATATTGAAACCCAGCTTATTAAAAGGAAAAAAATAAAACATTGTTGTCTTCTAATAATGAGATCTAAAGGGTAATCATTTTAACAGTTTTATTTTAACATTTTAACATTTTAACATTTTAACTTCTGTTAAAACAGAAGTTTTAACAGCTTTAACTGACAAATTAAAAATAAATGTACAAAAGCCTTATAATTGCAATGCAAAAAATCTAGGCTCTATTAAAATCCAACACAAAAGAGTGCATTGGCCTTTCTTATTTAATTATTATTTATTTCAGGCAAATTATTTATCTTTAGATATGGCGAGGTTTTGCAAGAGAACATTGAGTATTGTTTCATGAAGACAGCCAGTTTGAATCATTATCTGGTTTAGTTCATCATAACAACAGCTACACAATTATTGATATTTGACCACACTTTAAAAAAATACAAATCAAAGTACTATGTACTTACTGTGACAATCTTAACTTGACATCTGATACAGAGTACTGTCCCTGGAATGGATGGCTAAAAGAGGAGGAAAAACCCAAGAAAAAATTATTMTTTATTCTCATGATGAATATGTGTCATATAATTGTTAGCTGTACTCCCCTTTGTGCCTTACAAAAAAAAAGTAAAAAAAATATTTTGTACATATACTACTCTGTCACTTCACAGAACTTYGGGTTGCAGTGACTATTCAGCCACAGATTTCTTATCTGTTAAGGTGCCTTCTATTTACAGGCCAGATATTAACAATCTTTTCAGACTAAATCAAAAGAACCTACTTCCAGCAACACAGAGCAAATAAAAAGCATCCCTTAAGTAGACCAAAAGAGCTTTGCAGGTCTAAGGAAAACCTTTTTCAGACTACAGCAACTGAGAAAGTAAAAGCAAACAAAACTCCCTGCAGTACAGTAATAGCCCACAGTAAACAAAACAATGCACAGCCTACTGTGGTACCAAGCCTGGCATTGTCAAATCTTTCAGTGAAAACACCCATGAAACAGCAGCTCCCCTCTATCCCCATCAGTGACAACCTTGGACACAGCTACCCTGTACACTTGGAAGCAATTAATAAAAAGCAGAGCCATCTGAGGACAATTACTGGGGAATGACTAACTTTCTGTRGCTGGGGACAGCCAGACAATCGACTTGTTCAAGTTTCTCTTTTCCTGATTCTGGATATGTTTTCCGTCATAAAACTACTGCCCAGAATTAGAGTAAATAGTAAACTTTCCTTACCTAGAATTTACCTCTGCAAGAGCTGGATGCTTGTTGCTATTCCATACTCTGAAGTTGTGGGTATTTTTCCAGGCTGTTACAAATGCTGTTCCGAAGTCTGACAAAATCTTTTCATTGTCTGACAAATTAAATATGAGAATTTGCAGAAATTCATTACGGATGTAATTACAAGACAAACTAGTTTTTTTTCTGGCAAAGAAAAATTTCATTTTTCCAGGTTATTGTCAAGTCAATAACAATTAAAACTCCAGTACTAAAACCTTGGTACTAAAAAAACCATTTCTTTTTAAAGTGTCAAAAATATACAATACAAGGACAATATGGGGGGCAGGGGGGAAGCTAAAAACCTACTTTTCTTATTTTTAGTTCAATTATAAAACTCCAAGAGTTCAACTGGGGGAAAAAATCATCCAAACTTATGTCTCTTGACATTTTTCTGGGCAATGACAGGAAAAGGAAGAGAATGGCCACATAGCAACAAAGAACAAAAACACCATTTGCACTGGTTTTGGTCAGATACATCAGGGTTTGCTGTTATTACTCATTCAAATTAAGTAACTCCCAAATTCACTCCAAAACTGCAGTAGGAAATACTGTGGAATAAACTTATTGYAACAGCAACCCATTTAAAACACTGAAGAGTATAGGAAATAATTTAAGAGACAGCCAGTGAAGTAGTATGAAATCCCAGAAACCCTGATATTTCATATCAATCTGGTAATCCTCTTAAAATATTAATTTCRTCAGACCAAGAAATTGGCATCTTCAGATTTTAAAATCAAGTTCTCAATGCTATTTGTTTTCCCACAAATACCACAAAACAAAATCTGAATTTAATTGTTGTGAATAGAGAAAAATCATTATCAGAGTGAAGTTAACAGGGTGAGTACAGGACAAACTAAACATTTTGAACAAATAAAAACCACTGATTCTTTTATTGATATTCGCACAAAAGGTTGGAAGATAGGGAATTCCTTCTGAGGTAAAGCAAAACTGTTGAGCTCCAGGAAACACAAGCTTATAAAGCCTGTAGATGACATTTTTCACTTATATGGATCTCCACCAYGGCAAGAAGGAAAAAGAGCTGAAACAGTCTAGTAAAACTTCCTGAAAGCAGATGCTTAACCTCATGTCTCCTTGAATCCAAGTAGTTTCYCAAAATTAACTTCAGGTTGCAATACAGTCCAGAAGACACTCAGATTTATTAGAGTCTCACCCTATATAGGTTTCAGGTACTTCTAGTTACAAKGAAAACTTAATTAAATCACGAAGAAGGAGACATCCTAATGAGAAAGTGTCTGTAAATGCTGTGAACTAAGGATTATTGACAAGCTTGTCAAGAAATAACACAGGTAGCCAAAGACAATTGAAAAAGGAGCCTAAAATGAAACTTTAGGCAGAGGGAGATCCACTGACAGACCACACATTGACAGCAACAGAGTAAATGCTTGATATGTCCACCCCCATGTCCAACCCTAGACAAGGTATCAGTTCTACCTGGTTGYAGCACAGCAGCAAGCAGCGCATGAAGATAAGCACTGAACTGAGCTCTGATCCACTCATCTCCTCCTTCCCATCCAGTGCCATCAAGGAACACATCATCTCTGTTCTCAGTTACATGCTTCACCAAGTAATCTGAAAATCTTAGGTCAGCAGTTGTTGGGTTCAGGATCTTACGGAGTTCTGGATCGTGGATTTGTACATGAGCATCTTCTATCTGTTCAAAACAATTCCAAGGGTAAACATTTAWCTAAATAAAACTGCTTATACAAACTTACACTGCTACATATTACTACCTAAATTTAAATCCTCATTCCCCCAAAATCCCAAGAAGAAACAAACAGCCAAAGAAACAATGAACTAACTGTTCTCAGAAAGTCAGATACTGCTCTGATATATCCAGAATTCGATCATTTCCCTGGCACACAGTAAAAGCTGCTTATTTGGCCGGATTTGGCAGAAAGTTTGGCAGGGGAATKATGGTGCTCTTTGATTACCACCTCTATTTATTAAGTTGATTACCTATATGGAACCATCTTAGGTTACCAGATGCTGATTATATAGTTGTGTCTATTTGTCAAAAGTGACACAGTTGGTTTTTTAGGTACTGTGTTTTTACCCTCTTGATTAAATTGGAAGTCAAATCAGTACTTGCATCTGATTCTTATCTGCAAGCACTTAGTTTTGAAGACCTCATTAGAAACCCATGAAAAAGCCCATGACATGAAAAATAAAATTACACCACCAACACAAYAACATTTAAAAAGTGCCCTTCAAATTCAAGTATTGGATACATATGAAAACACAGACAATAATTTCACACAGCTTATCTAATCCTGTCCTCTCAAGTCACAGAAATTTAATAAACTTCTGCAACTGAGAATTTATTCCATGCGGAAAGAATTCAAAATTTGGGTATGCATGTGAAACTGCAAAGCTATGTTTAAAATGGAATTTCAGCTTCCCCCCATTTTCCCCCCAGCTCAGATGCAAAGATCCATACTTCCACAATTGCATCACTCAGGTGTTTCTGCTGACGGAACAGGATATTGGTAGCTCCCGCAACGAAGCCGCGGACTGTCACATCCGACAGGAGATGATGCTGCTGCAGCGCCATGTAGGGCAAACAAAGGTACCCCTGGAGTAACAGAGACATTTAGAGAAACAACATTTTAAAAAAGTGTCTATATCCAGAGGTTTTCGTAAAAAAAGCCAGCACATTTCACCCAGAATGAACCTTGCTTATTACAGTTTCAGCCATAATTATCTGTTGTTTTCCTACACTACATTTGCAAAACAAAGTCACCAGATTCCACATGAATTAAATTTTTCAAGAGATTGTGCTGCCTTTCAGTCTCAGGACTGAAACTGAAATCCAAAGCAAAGGACGAGAATTAAATGTGTTTATAAGGCAACAGAACATTATGTATAAGAACATTAATAAGCAACAGGAGTGAGGCCTCAGGTCAGTTCAGAGACAATAAGCCAATGGAGATAAGGATTCATCTCTCCAGTTGTGCACATGATGTCTTCCAGTAGCTGTGAGGCACATAATGCAGGAAAGCTACAGACTGCCTCCATGTTGTGTGGGTGAATATTTCCAGACACCTGGGACAGCAATCAATTTTTGATAAACATATGCATGCCTGCTTTAAGAAGGAGCATGATAGAAAACAGTACACTGCACTTTTTAGCCAGTTAGGGGTTGTAAATTAATCTAGTATCCTACACTCCAATTAAAAAAAGAACCCCAAAACATTTTGGAAAAAGGCTTTGAGTTAGTCATTGAGGGATTACTGAGAGGCAGATGTAGGTATTTTTTTTTTTTTCAAATATAGGATCAACATATACCTGACATMTAATTCCAGCTGCTCAGCTGCACAAAGCCCAAAGCAATTTATTCACAAGGCCTAATGGCACACTGGACAGAAACAAAGAGCACACACACTTTATCACCCAGAACGTGGCAATKGGAAACATATGGAAGAAAAGAGCATAACTACTCCCTTTTGCTGTATCAGACACAGGGATGGCCTTAGAGATKAAGCACTTATCAGCTGAAAACAAACAGCCTGTGTCAAAGGAACAACAGTGCTTTGAAAGGAATCACAAACGTAAAATGGAATGTTTTCAAACAATACAGCTTAAGAAGCAGGAAAAGGAAGGTTTAACTACTGTATACTAAAGTAGCAASTCTGGGAATTTTTTCACTATTTAAAGTATCCAGTGTCAGCTTCCAAATGTACATTTGTAAGTGCAACAACTTTTATTTCCATGAACATGTTCCTTTCTTTCATTGCAAATGCAATGCCTACTAGACCTTACAGAACTGGTACAAAAGAARCAAGTACCACAAGCTATTTTCCCTTATGCTCAGGTGTACCTTGATAATGTATTATGCCACCTGGYAAAACCTCCTCCCATTCAAATTTGTCAGATTTATTAGTCTTTCCATGGCACGGCATAAAACAACCCTAGGTTAAAAGCTCTAAAAGAGATGTAAACTTTACAGTAAATGRTTAAAACTGTAACTTGGAATTAGATTTTTCTTCTAATTCAGACATGTAAAGGCTTTTCTGCTTTAATTACATTGGATGAACTCAAGTGAAAAGTGCCTTTGTGGAACAGAAGAACACGTAGAAACAGCAAACTTCCTTAAAATTATTTTCCATTTGATGAGCTTAGCAGCAAACAAAAGTATGCACTTGGAGGTCCCCTTATCAATTATTTCATCCTAGCTTTCTAYTTAGTATTTTCAAAGAACTAGACTAAATACAACTTACAGGCYATTGTTCACATTAGACAGATTATAAGGACAAACACCAGATGCAGATCTTTGTTRAAACAGCATTTCTAATGGTGACATGAGGCAATACAGCACAGTGACATCTGAGCTGCTCTCTTGGGCCCACACAGTRCACTATTTCCAATGAAAGCTACAGTGAGAAGCTTAAACACAATCATAAAATACAATATTCTCAAAGGAAACACAAATAAACCTCTCCAAARAAAGAAAAACCACTTTGAATCTCACCAGTTTAAGGAAATAAATCTTAATCTTCTATCTTCTACAATGGGCAAATGTTTATTTAAAAAAATTTATTACATTATAAACAAAACAGTAAGATGTACTATATAACTTCTATTATTAACAGAAGTAACTTTAAAAGGGATGCATTTTACCTGATTTTTATGGGAAACTAGCCCTACTAACCAGCCCTGCTAATCAGATCTATTTCTTGTTATCTGATTATGMCTATCAGATTCCTTAGAGATTCTGGAATACCTGGAGTTCAGTTAGGCAACAGTGAAAGCTTAAAATTCAGCAATTCAGCACCATGCACAAAGAAAGACACAGATAAATAATTATCATGGATAGAAAGGTGGAATTTTATCTTTTGTGTGTGAGTGTGTATACATTTATATACGCTTTTTGTGCATATATACACATATACATTAAAAAGTACATACATAGACGTAACTTATAAGTGGAAAAGGTAGAATTAGGTGTCTGCAAAGGTAGAGATTTCAGAGTTTTAGTTTAGATTAAGGTATCTAAAGGCTTCTGAAGCACTCTGATCTTACCCTCTATAGGTTAGATGAAAAAGTCCAGAACAAGAGAAAACTGTAGTTTCTGATAGATATGATTTATTAACCACAGTGGGGCTGCACATTACTCTCACACAGAACAGCAAATAGTATTTAGGTATCTGTACAAAAGCAGAATGCAAACGTGCATGTGCATGACCCTCCCAGACATGCACTTGGGCCTTTCTACCTACCCAGGAGAGACCACACATACGTGTTTTATAGTACCTGGAGTTCAGTAACCAAARTTAATAGCCACTTCTGAAAAAAAAAAAGCCTTTATGAGTTACCAGGTACCACAAAGAACATGCTTACCTTTGTAAAAATAGCCAGTGGCATCCCATACTGGTCTTCTTCCAAGCCAGACACCAGCCCTTGAACAAGCACCGTGTGCCCTGTGTTTGCCTGGGGCTGCACAGTGATGGGAAGGCCTTCGGAGCTCAATCCTTTGCTCCGAAGATTTTCTGCCTGTTCTGACRCTGCATTCTCACGTTCTCCTTCTTTCAAATTAGACTCCTCCAAAATGCTGGGATCTAGGGTCTCCCAGTCACTTTCTGAGGAGGCTGGAGAAGCACGAGAAGGAACTTTCAAGCGCTGCACAGTATCATTGGAGGACTGAGCTCCATTGCAAGTCTTCTCAGGCTGGGAGAAAGGCACGTTTGCTTTTTGAACTTCCAGTGAATTGTTTCCTGTCATCTTCCTGTCTCCCTTTCCCATTCCTAAGTTTGCATTTGAAGCGTCAGCAGCAGACACAGAAACATAGTCATCTAACCGTGGGGTATTTTCCTGCAAGCCAGCATCCTCTGATATGCTCTTTCGTGGTCTGTACTGGGAGCAGTCACTAAGACCATGTTCAATCATACCTGGAAAGTAACAGCACACACAAACATCAGTGTCTCAATAAAAATTTAAGTGACTTTTGTGGACAAAACAAAAAGTGCTCTTGTGTACAATAGAAATMATTTTTTTAAACATTACTTTGAGGAGGGAGGGGTTGTGTTAAAAAACCAAAACCAAACCCCACACTTTGTCTCCTAAAGAAYCTGCCCTAACATTTTGGTTTAAGAGGACTGGTTAGAAGCTAAGGATTAGGAAGGTTAGGGGTTATGTTTGTTTGATTTTTAAGAGCACATTTAGAAGGAAAAGTTTATATTTCAGGTTTTTAAGGAACTCAACATGAATGTKTGACTTATTCAGGGGCCCCATCTATGTCACCTACAGGCAACAATACAGAAAATCCAGGGACTCCAACTAAGCACAAGACATAACACATAAAGTGCAAGTAGTAAGTGTTGGAGGTGTGTACATTGTACATGGACATGCATACAAGTCACCAATTTTTCAGGCAACATATCAACTAACTTTATTATTACATGGGCTGATATCCATGTGACAGCACAATCAGTCCCAGTTATCACCAGAAAGCATATAAAAAGAAGTCCAAACCTCTCTTCTTACCAGGAAAGAGTGACAAGACAGTCATCAGAGCTCCCACCAATCTATTTACAGGAGAAATATAAAACAGCACCTGGTGGTAGGAGGAGGACAGTGGGAGGAAGAGAGAATGCAAGAGAGGAAAGGGGAATCAGGGAGGGGAGAATGAGAAAAATAACATTACACTTATGCATGACAAATGACCCATGCAAACTATTYGAGGCACTGTTTTTTAATGTTATATTAGAAAGTCTGTTAACTAACAAAACTTCCTACAACAGTTCAAAGTAAATATTTAAATATGTCTAGAATAGAATAAATAGAATCTTTACAAAATATTTGTCATACATAATAGATATATACACGCACATATATACATGTGTTTGTAACACACTTGTCAGTTATTCAGATTTTTCTATTGTTTTATACGATTTTTTTCCAAATTGATCGGGTTACTGCAGGACTGACAGAAAAAAGTTTTTCCTGGCATGCTGCATAAATTCTTGCTCATTTGTAGCACATTAAATYCTCTATTATAAATCAGAGGCCAAATAATCTCCATTCCAGAACACTGACACAAACCTAYGCAAATGCATTTCTTTTAAGGAGTTATATTAAGGATATGTARATAAATGAAAAACAGGATAAATGCTGTATGCATTTATTACACTAATATTTGTATGTAACAAAAGAAAGTGTTTTGGAAACAGAAGACATGACTGATACTAACTTTGGTAAAGCACTTAAGGCATAACATGGGAAARCAGAATCCCCTTAATTAAATCAGAGAGACTAGAATTAGTAAATTAGTTAGGAATTCAAATGGGGATGTCAAAGGCTAGCAGTGAAAGAAGAAACRGAATTCAGATCTGAGTATTACTACTSGAATTTATTCAAAACAGKCCCTCAGGGRAAAAGGGGGGAAAAGGAGAAAAAAAAMCCCCAAAACCTAAACAACCCAAACSCAAATGACGAGGAATCAAGAATGCAAAGGAATATAGAGTGATCTAACTTTATGACTTTGCAGTCCAGTTTATTTAATATGTGGATGATGAAATTAAAAGTGCAAGTTTGTGGACTTGGTCTTAATAAGAGAATTCTGCTGTAAGAAAGAAAGACACTTTAGTAGAGACTGATGAATAATAACTCATGTCACACTAGCATTTGTCAGCCTACAAACTAGTGAATTGATGGAACCAAGAGAAAGACYTACACAGCCTTAACACAGACTAAATAATGTTTAATGGTTTAACCCAAGCTAAAAACATGTATAAAACTATGTAAACTATAAAACCATGTATATTATCCTATACATATGAAAAAGAAAAATTGTACAACATAGGTGAATTCAAATTGCAACAACCACTGAAAAAGCGTGACGAGAAGAACAAGCAGCTCATCTGTAGAAAGAGTTTTGGCTGACTCCAATGGGAATAAAAATGTCTAACTTCTAAGATGCTGCTTTATAATGTATGCATGAAAAATGCATGATATAATAGCAATGAACTGCAATAGAAAGCCTATGATACTCCCACAGGTTWAGATTCTCAGACACCATGCATTCCTAGCCAAGCTTATTTTTAAGCCTACAGAAATAATTAAGCCTATAAAGAAGTAYCCTGTTTTAAAGAAATCTATTCCAGTCTAGGTTTCTGTTTGGGTGTACCACTTACTCAAGGCAAATACTTWTCTATATTCATTTCATCAGGTCCCTCTGCCACCTTTCTGTCTATAAGGATGCACAGTTCCTTACCCCTCCCAGCCCCACTACATGGCCCACAGMATTTACATCAGCAAACTGGGTGGTCCTGGCAGCAGAAAGTCAAATGATCACCATCTGGAAGTAGTCTTCCAGCCTAATAACAGCTGAGAGGTAAAAAAAAAATATTTTAGCCTGTGGAAAAGCACCAACCAAATTGCTCMAGATTAAAGGAAATTAATCTGCAGCATTTTTCAGATCAAGGAAAATTGGCATTACTAGTGGCTTCTTGTATATTTTATTTAAGGTCTTTGAACATACAGATTCCCACAGTTGTTCTGGAACTGTAACATCTGCCAGAAAACAGGCAGTGCCAGAAAACCAACACTTTCTTTTGAAATTGCAAGTGTTGTCTTCCTGTCGGAGCTTAGGGAAAAACAGACACAAAGCAACCTGCGGGTTTGTTCCACAAGCATTCAGTTACCTCCAAAACAATTTCGTATGTCTGACTAAYGTGAACATAGTTGGAAAACCCTCTCTCTTCTCTCTTCCTGTGCATTTGTGTCTTGTGGTTTGAGCAGTTTCAGAAAGAACTGTAGCTCAGTGAAGTATTTGCTATGTCCRAATGCTGAACTGATCTGGTGACTCCTACTATGCCATAATTGCATTTTCTCAAGTATACCTTTTGCACAGTCATCTTCAGCATTTGCCTCTTTAATGCAAAAACTGCATTTATTCTCATCAACAAATACTGAGAACTGTCAAGGTACATCTGACTTAAAGAATTAAGTGACAAGTGCAAAAGCTTYGGAGAAGCTGCTACTTTTATTTTAAAATAGAACAGCTTATTTACTGCCTCACAAAAGATAGCTAGGCCTCAGATAAAGACTTAAAAAAAAAACAACCTCCACAACTATTTTGATAATTTATAGATTAAATCCTACTGACTTTCCAGCTGCAGCTAACAGGAAATTCTAACATGTYGTCTCAGCACTCTAAGAACCTGGGTTTTAACAAAGCAGCTTCACTGAAGAAAAAAGCAGCATTTRGGAAACTGAAACAAAACTTTAAATAACTTTTTTAAACTAAACCAAAACAAAATCCCAGCATAAGTGTGTCTGGCAGTTGACACACAGTCATTTCACTCAAAGTTCTTGTTCTAGGGCATTAATATGYACACAGAAGAAAACAAATGTCTCAATTTCACATCTGCCTTCACATTTTGCATATTACACTTAAATTACTAAAACAACATCRCTTCTGAAGGCAGCAAGATAGCCCAAAGAAAGCTCTGAGACTAGAATTCAGCAGTTATTACTATTTTATAATCCGAGTTCAGGCTGACCTAACAGATTCAGTTCTCTTCATTGTCTCCTGCAGGTTCCATGCAATTCAGGTCTGAAGGACACCCCACAAGCACTTGTTTCCATTGGTCTGTCTATTTAAAGCCTGAACTAGAAGTTCTACTTAACTGAATCTCTGTAAAGCTRTATGTGCCCTTTTAGGTACCCACATTTCCTAGCAGTTCCTCCACGCAGGTACCTATCTGCATGATGYGTATCCTGTTCTATATTTTACTGTAGGTTAAGTTTCTCTGGTCACATTTCATCACATTTTATTACTCTGGCTGGACCACAATTAAAGAAGCAAAGTGTGGATAGTGCAGAAGTGGAGGCAAATTTATAGGTCAACACGCAGCAGTTTCTTTTATCCTAAYAACCCAATTTGTATGTATTGACACAAAGTTGTTGATATGACTTCAGATACTTCTATTTTATATATGAAAAATATTTAACAGTTTTATTTCTATTTAAACTACCTGCCTCAATTTACAAAATGTAAATTTACCTTTTTCTCTAGAAGAATCAATTTAAAAAGGATCAAGACCTGAAAAAAAACATAAAATGAAAATACCATGGTGAGTGTACCATTTATCAAAAATACTGTGCAAGCATAATGTCTTATTCAAAGTTTCATATTAATCACTGCATAACTGTCAAATGACCAAATACATCTCACCGGTGACAAACAGTGTTCCAACATCCCTTCTTCACCTAAGAACACATTTAAAAATAGCACGAGATCCAAAAAAAACCCCAAACCAAACAACCAAAACCTCCACAAACAAGACCTGTGTAATTTGAATCACATGTAGCTTAGCAGAAAGAACATATTGTGCAATTCCTGAATTTTAAAAAAACAGTAAACTGCAAAAACATAAAAGAGCTCCTCCACAGAATTACTGAAAAAACCCAGCAAAATTCCAAGAATCGTATTCACCTCAGCTAATTTTAGGCATGTACAGATGAGGCATCTAGATAAGAAGTGGCTGTCSAGAATCTCTACAGTCAAGGAAATACACAGATGCTTCTGGGGTATGACTGGCAGACATCTGAAGTCAAACAAAAATGAGTTCTACCTCAAAAAATCTACTGAGCAGGTGCAAATACACCATAAAATGCAGATTCTCAAAGTTGTTTCCTTGATGTATCTCAGTCAATAAAAGATCCTAAATGCTATTTGTACTTTAGCTATAGGATACATAMTCAATGTCAATAGAATTTAGGAAAAAGAAGGAGTGGTCCAAGTCCCCTCAGACTCCATGATGGCAGAAGATATAAAATTTACTAAATACATGGAAAAATGCTCGAAGTTGTGTCTGCACAGACTTTAGCAATATTCTTTTATCACATTCATTGAAGGAGAAACAGGAAATAGAAACAAGATCACAAATGAGATAACATTTGCACTTTGGGGCAGGACTAAAAAAACGTCACACAAACCTAGAAATCTCCAGGAATCCCCCAGACTAACAAAACTCCTTRGTCGGGAAATTACTTTCACTGAAGTTAAGCAGATGGAATGTGAGGAAAAAAACAGGAGACTAATTAGCAGTACTTCAGAAATATTCTTCTTACTCCTAGCTCACGTGTGTCATAGATACGTTTATTTTTCTGTTCCTCAAAAAGCATCTTGCTCCCCAAAATAATGCAGTGCTTTATATATCTAGTAGAGAATGCCTACCTTGTGTCTAAAATGGAGAACAAGATCCCGAGGAGACAGACCTGAGACACCAAAAACAGAGCAATTATTACAGTTCARCTGCTGATAGGGATGCTAACTTTACTTCTTGTCACCATTTTTTAGTGTGAGRGAGATACCCACTATGGATTCTGCATGAACCTGCTTATTTCAATAGCAGAATTCATACAAAATCCTTTTTTTTTTTCAGCAGGGGCAAAAGTTAATCAAAAATAGAGACAATAATAATGTAAATAGTTGTGCTCTGAGTTAAGTCCTGTTGGCTGCCACACAGCATTAAGGAAACACTAAAGTAAATACAACACAGTAGAGTCAGGACTGGGTGGTGAGATATCCCAAATAACAGGTAGATGCAGGCTTGAGCACCCCACACCATCAGAGTGTTCAATCTGAAAACTAAGAAGGTATTGTTTACCAAAAGCAGATAAACAGTTACTAGTCAGACTGTTAGGTCAAAGAGTAATATGGCTTTCAACCTGCAACTAACTCCTATTATGAAAGCAACACTACATYTTACATTTATTTAAATCCATTAATAAAGAAACGCAGACCTCTGGTGCTTAATCTGTTAATGCTCAGGAAAGGCATGTGTTGTTTAGTGTAACATCATCTCTGATGTTTTGTACAAAACAAGTCACTTACCAAGATAAACTTGTGACCCTTCTAACAAAGTATTGCCCARGGAACTATTCATATGATCATAAAGTTCCTGTAAAAGGCAAAAAAAACCYCAGAAGATGTTAATGGCAGATGGTCACATAAAATCCAGAATAAATAAAAYGCACTTTTTCAAGGATTTCAATTGCTTATTCCAGAAAGAAAGTAAATTTTACCAGTGGAGTCAACAGAGATACAGGCCAGACAATCACACTCATTCTCATAATTCATTACACACCAGAAAGTTGACTCTGTCAGATTAAGGGAGTACATTTAGTTCATGATAAAATATAACAGGAGCTGAATAACTGAATRACTTATGGAAAAGGAATATTTGAGCTCTAAATAAAARCATTTAAGTTTGTGGTCATACACTAAAAGCTGCTCTGTGTAGCCTTTACTGCAAAGTTACCTTTAGAATTGAAATTTGTGAGAAGTCTTTTTCTTCAAAATATGCATGTGTGATGAGTTGCAGCTTTGCCTGAAGTAACCCATACAAAGGCTTGGAAGAAAAACAAACACAAAAGCAAGTGAATAAAACTGTTTAGTCACTCATTTTGAACTTTAATCTTCTCCCATGCTTATCTTGCAGCAGTGACACAATATTATACATGGTTGAGCAGTCCTCAGTGGCTAACTCCYAGCATCTTTCTCCTGTGCTCATTTTAAATGATGATAATTGCATTTTCTTTCCATTTGCACATACCATACCCTCACTGAACACCTTTCTGGAAAAGTATTTTCCTGCTTTAACACTGCTCATGCAGCTCCAATAATAGTTCTTTCTTCAGCTTTAAGCACAAAAAGAATTTCTGTTCCCTGCCTACTGATGAGCAGCTTTTGCTGAATAGGTAGAAATAAAATATATCTCTTCAAAACAAGAATATGCTGTRTGTGTGGCTATCCTAAAACCTCCCTCACAGTTGAAGGTAGTAGCCATGCTCTCCAGCTGCTATGCTAAATGATCTTTGAGGCCCCTTCCAACCCTACCCATTCTATGATTATACTGGCCAAATCCCTCATTTTTTCCACATGAAATTGAGTTAGCAGCATTTAAGAAGGATCAAAAGTGAAAACAGATATCCAATGACAACAGGCAGACACTTTTCCAGTTACAAGCAGATACCACAATTCAAGGCAGCTCACTCAAATGCCACAGCCTTCCAATTCAATTTTACTTCAGTATTCTGTTGCTCTGCAATGGCTAGAGAGATATTTGAAGCCAAATGTTCCAAACAAGAATATGGAAGAACAATTGTTAAGGTTGCCTGAAAGTGTTTTGGGAGTTAACATTCTTACCAGCTGACTGAGGACACAGACACTTTTCTGTACAGTTTCTCGGGTGATGTCTGCTTGCCGTACTTTTAATGCCTGCAAAATAGAAGCATTACAGTGTTTTTATCCAAACACAATTTCAAAAAGAATTCTTTCCCAAGTTTAGTTGACACACAATACCCCTTAGTTAAACTAAATCCTAAAACTGGCTATCTTCAATGGTGGAATATGCAAACGATGCAACAGTATGCATGCTCTTGTGTTTTCAGAAGGGATAGGCTGGGAATGAGGGGCACAGATGCTGTCCCCTGTGTTAAGGAATTAATAGATTGTGAGAAACTGCCACAAACAGGTTGAGAGGTTGCAGGTAAAAATCAAGGACAGGACCAACAAAGGACACCTTTTGGCTGGGGTCTACTACAAGCTACCTGCTCAGGGAAGAGGCTGTTGGCAAGGCCTCATGTTTCAGCGACAGGAAGCTCTCAAGCTCTCATCTTAATGAGGGMATTCGACCACACAGATATTGGCTAGGAAAGCAATGAGACTGTGGATGCCCCATCCCTGGCAGCTTTCAAGGCTAAGTTGGATGGGGCTTTAGAAACCTGGTCTAGAGGGTAGCATCCATCCCATGGCAGGGAGGTTGGAAGTAGATGATCTTTAAGGTCCCTTCCAACCCAAACCATCCTATGACAATTCTATGAKTCTACCTATAAAAAGAGTTACGACACTGACATGTCATCATCTCATTGTGTCTATCAAGATGCAAATACTTGTGATAATCAGCAAAGAACTGTTTAAAAGACTAGCGTGAGAAAGGCAACRCCTGGAAAAGGAAATGGCATTTTAACTCAGGGGAAGGTATGGGAGAGAAATCACAGCACATCACTTGCTCTTCTCTAACATTGTCTGAAAATGGACCAGATTAAGAAGTCTCTGCCTAGAAATCGTTTGTTTCACACTCAAGCATCTTTTTTGAGTCAGCCATAAATTAAAAGTTTATCCACGAAATAAGCTACATTCTCAGCCAGAACAAATGATCACAGCACTTAAACAGCAAACCGAGAAATGGTGGGGGCAGAATGCAGACAAATGATTCACTCAACTGTACAAAACAGAAAATGTATGGACTGCAGCCCACACATCAAAAAGGACAGGTGGAGAGAGTGCTAGAGCTGTCAYACGAAACACATTGGGGTTTATTCTACTTGTTCCAAAGAGTTCATTTAAAACATCTATTTATCTTCTTAATTGGTTACTAGAAAGCATAAACTGGAATCAAGAGCACAATAAAGCCAAGTTATTGCACAGTTAAATACAGCAAGACTCTAAATTACAGAACACAGTGAAGACTAGTGCAAAAACAATGAGTGAACGAAAATCAACATGGAATTTAGTTCATAAAAATGGAATTAAAACCTGCATGTGTAAAATTTCTCCTAGAGCATAAACAGRAACTTGAAATATAATCAAGATATAATTAACATGGATACAAAGTACATAAATGAGTCTTATATTCAGAGGGTGTAAATTAAAACTCAAATCCACATGACATTTCAGGTCTTGGCAATTCACTGAAAAAAAAGTAATTTAAAAAGAAATTTGTAATAACTGCTCAATTCTAAGTGCACGTATTATACTAACATTATACTTTCTAAGATATGGGATGATTTTAGTAGATCATGGAAAGATTAGTTCTCAAGTTCTGGAGCTACCTACTGTACACATTTTCACAGACTTTTAATATAAGACAAAATCACACAGTTTTTGCCTGCTGGTGTAATGCAAGCCAGTGAATTTTAGGGTTGTTAACACATCAAGCCTATTATTTCATTAATATAACTAATTCACAATTAGTGAATATCAGAAAGTTACCTTTGCTTCAATCTGCCGATAGCAAGAGACACCATACACTGTGGTTCGATCCCCACATCTCGGTGGCAAATGGAAAAACACAGTATCTAGAAAAAAAACCCATTATTTCGTAAGTCACTATCAAGAGTTCAGTATATTTATTCTCAGCATCCTTTTTTATAAAAGGTTTATTGCTGGAAATACTGGCACACACGTATTTTCTGAGACTAGGAAGAAAAAAAAAATAAAAGGAAAAGGTCACCTATAACGTTATGGCAGGACCCAAATTAGCTTTCACTCTGCAGTGCAATTTGTGGAAGAATCTCCAGCTGTGCAGGACAGCTTCACATTTAGCCAGACCAAGCCAAAGACCAAGACATGGCTTTTCAGAAGCAGCTGTTGACAACAGAGAAGCACCACTGAAACCTACAGGCATGATGCTTTCCCAGTTCAGTACAAAGGAGCGAAGGCAAGGCACTGTGAGTCAATGTATACAGCTGGGAATGTGATGCCATTAAGAAGGCAAACACAACTAAGATAGGAAAAAAAAGTCCGAACACCAAGGCAGACACACACAATTTAAAGGTTAGAGTAGCTGCTACCACTGCTAAAGTAGATATCTGCACCACCACCACCACCACCACCACCACTAACATACTAACAAAAAGAACTTGTGAAACCTAATCTTACAGAAAATAATTACTGTCTCTGTGCAAGTACAAAATGAAGAAGAAAAAAAAAATCTATAAAATATGACAAGAGAAAAACTTTTATAACTTGAGATACATACACCCACAACACACACACACACACACACACACCTACTAGTACTGAAAAAAGTTTCTAATTCCTAAGTAAAGAAAACCAGTTGTTCACGCCTTTCAAAATATGAGTGAAATCTTTTCTGAAATCAACTATTAATTTTCTGTTTGGTTCAGTAACAGARGAGATAATCCCATATGCATTATATMAAACAGTGAGGGGATTTTTYRTAACAAAGCTTAATCCCTTGATCAAGTTTATATTCTGGAGATCATCTAGGGTTTTAGAAACCCRGTAAGACAATTTCCTGTACCAAGTCATCCTCTTTGCACAAATGCAATTATCCATGGGAATAAGTTTAAAACACAAAAAACATTAACATAATAAAGTTACAGTAAGTGATATATAACTATTATCAGAGTTCTTGTATATTCTTGCCTACAAAACACAAAGATGCATCTCTGCTTTCCCGCCAACTCTTTTTCCTCCTTACCAAAAAAAATAAACATTGACAGTAATCTAGTACAGCAATAAAAATGCTCAAAGTTGAGTATTAACTGGAATGGTACTGAGACAAAAGAGAACAGGTAAATGCAGCTGCATGTGATTTTCCAAGCTTTGAATGTAGCCTACTTCTTGTTATGTATTTAACTACGTAGAAATTGTGATCAAGAGCAGAGACATTCTTACTGCTGCTAGGGAAGGAATTATTTTGATAAACTTCTTTTATTTCCAAATGGAATCTTCAAAAGCTGTACAATAAGGAAACTAAGCACATCAAGTTAACAAAAAGGCAGTATTAAAGTGTTTCTGTGATTTTGCTGTTTGAAGTGACTTYCTTGTTGTCCGCTCTGCAGAAAAAAAAAATGAAACAATTGGACACGAATATAAATGTCAGCAATGAACAGAACTGCTAATAAAGGAATAAATGCAATACTAAACGAACAAGTGTAGTGAACCTGTTGGTAACTATATGACAAATGAATATTTCTATGTTTATTCTGTCAACAAATACACTTTAAAAGCTCACACTATCATACTGGCATGGCTTTCCATGACTTGCAGGTCATTTTAAGAATCTCTAAATTAATGGAAGAGAGTTTTTTCCCAGTATTCTGAGAAAGCCTGCGGCCTTGCTTTGTGCTAGAACCATACAAAATTGATATGTAACACAAAAGTTTTTATTGACATCTGAGTTCTTGATTCAGGACGCACATCTTTATGATCTACCTAAACTCTGAAGGAACAAAAATACATTGCTAATGTATTTTGCAACTTAAAAAATGCAGGAAGCCTAACAGCAAAAAAAATCACTGGTCAGCTGTTCAGATATCAGAATTTTTTTTTGGGTTGCACTAGAAGAACACGCAACTTTTCTTCCTCATTTCTTACCTTCCTGGTAGTTGTGAGCCCCATCTGGTAAGGCAAGAAATGGCAAGTACTTCCATTCCTCTGGCAAACTGTGGCTGTCATGTCCTTCTCCAGGTTTTAGGGGAGGATARGAAAATTCAACCTAAACAAACAAGAAAAAAGAGAGATTACATTACAGGTACCAAACAAGGCCTCTGTGATTCAGCCTAGCACCTCTTCTTTTGTGCCAATGGTAAGAAAAAAACATTTTTCTTCCAACTAGCATTCCTTGTCTCTTCCTTCAATGCACACACAGACTGATTTGTGGTTTAAACTGACAGGCCCTGAGCAGATTTGGCTTCTACAGCCTAATTATTTTTCCTCAAGACAAATGAAAATTATCTTCAAGCAGAAAAAAAGCACCCAAGAGCTGAATCCCTTCTTCCCKGTGAGCACRGAGCCAGCAGCACATTGCCACACCTGCAACATCAGCAGGGGTCATTGCTGGGGCMCACATATCCTSAAATTGGATTTGACTTCCAAGWTCTTSAGGTGCTCATGACTAGGTAATGCTAACACGTGCAGGCCTCTCTTTTACCCTACAGTATGTTGAATCATCTCAAAAACTATAATGACAGCAAAACATTGGTTTATATGTTTTTATGTGCCTGACTGCAACGTGTTCTACACAATGRCCTAAAGTATCTCCTCTTCCTTTCAATAAAAACACCTGCTTTTCAATTTTGTCTTTTATTTATTYGCCATTTATGTCTTTCCTAGAAATAGAGACAACCCTTCCATTCCTTGCATTATACTATATGCCTACCACAGATCCCCACAATCAGCACCTTTACAAGCGCAATCTTCCTAAGAAGACCCCCCTGGGTTTCCAGCGACATTCATCAACTTTTTTCTAGAAGGCATTTCTTAAATTACTGAACAAAAACTAACCACAAATTTATCAGTAATAGAAACTGTTTATTGAAACTGCAACTACTCTCCAAAGATATTTAGTTAGTGAGCATAACTAGGTGAGCTGTAAAATGTGTGCACATATGGAAAATAAAAAGCATGACAAAGCAAGCATACAGATAATCTTACCATTTGAAGGATACTAAAAGATACTAGAAATAATAACAACAACAAAACAATCTGTAAAGGATGAGAGTACCAAGAAAAAGTGAAATTCTTCACCTTAACACATGGTGTCACTCTGTATACAACTGTTGCTAACTTCAGAAAAAGGCACAAAGGACAAGAAAACACCGTGAGAAATCAACCTTGATACTTGTATCAATTTCAAGTTTTCTTATTTCTTAAAATGGTGGGTTGACCCTGGCTGGTCACCAGATGCCCACCAAARCTRCTCTATCACTCYCCTCCTCACCTGGGCAAGGGAGAGAAAATATAATGAAAGGCTCATGGCTCAACACAAGGGCCGGGGGGGATCACTGAGCAGATACTGTCATGGGCAAAACAGACTTGACTTGGGGAAATTAACTTTATACCAGTAAAACAGAGCAAGATAAGAGAACCCAAATCCTGAAAACACCTTCTCACCACCCTGGGGTGAGTTAATTCCTTCATGGACTTAACTTTTTTCTGATTGTCTTCTTCCTCCCCCTGCAGGGCAGGGGAACAAGAATGGTTTGTGGCCCATTGATCACACACTGTCTCTGCTGCTGCTTCCTCCTCAGAGGGAGGACTCCTTCCCCTGCTCCAGCATGGGGACCCTCCCTCAGCAGACTGCTCCATGAACTTCTCYAATGTGAATCCTTTCCACAGGCTGCAGTTCTTCATGAACTGTTCCAGCATGGATCCCCCATGGGGTCACAAGTCCTACCAGGAGCCTGCTCCAGCACAGGGGCCACAGCCTCCCTCAGGCTTCCCCCTGCTCTGGCATGGGGTTGTGTACAGATGGATCTCTGCTCCACCATGATCTTTCACGGGCTGCAGGGAAACAGCTTTGCCACACAATGGTCTTTATGCAAAGCAACCAGCACATCCAGCCCTTTCTTCTTTATTGATCTTGGAGTTAGCAGGGCTGCTTCCTCTCTCCGCCACTTTTCTCTGGCTGCCACTTGCTTCTCTACAATAACTTTCCTTCTTTTATGCATGATCCCAGAGGTGCTACCACCACCCSTGAAGGGCATTGGCCAGCTCTGGGTATCTCTTGGAGCTGGCTGGCATTGGCTCWGTCAGACATAYGAGAAGCTTCTGGYGGCCTCTGAGAGAARGCAYCCCTGTAATCCCCTGTAAATATGAGGAATCCACAGAATCTTTTAAACAAAATAYGCCATTAAGCAAAAAAAGAAGAGCATCTGACTTCCAGATGAGAGACAAACACTGGAATTAGCATCCATACAAGGAGCAGAGACTCTGTCTGCCATTTAGTACACAGATATATCCTGAAAATTCCCTGCTATCTTTTTCAAATCACAGAGAAGAAAATTAAAATGGTAGAAGCTTTATGTAAATGTCTGAAATATCATACCTTYTGCTGCTGTTCAAATTCTAATTGGCTAGCTGAAAACTCTGTTTACAGAATTATTGCTGGAATCTTGCAGGAGTAACTTTAACAATAAATATAGCACAGTTCCTGAGTTTAAAACAGATAGTCAAGAAGCATCTACWCTTATGTCTGAACTCAGGTATTTTATTTCACTGCATGGCCAACAGAGAGGGATTCAGATTCACCCTCTGAAGGAACTTCCTTCTAGCAAATACAGAAGAAATTCTGAGTTCCTTAGATTCCAGCAAATATCTTCAAAGCATCATTTCTGACAGGGAAATACTGTGAGTAAGGATTTAAGACATCATTGCTTCCCCACTGCTTCAGAATTACAATTGTATTTTGCACTCCAGCCAAYTAATGAATTAGTAGGTAAATTTCAAGAAAGTAGAGTAAGACGAGTCAAGCAACATGAAAAACCTGTATTCACTAAGGAACACTCCTTTCTAAAGTCCACAATAAAGCTGAGAAATCTGGCTCCTGTGTTCTTTTGACAGTGTGAAATCYGCTGAAGAACTACTTTGTTCTAGCTCACAATATGCTATCAAACCTCAGATGCTATCAGATAATCCCAGCAACAGGGATTTCTGCAGGCTCTGACTGTTCCAATTTCAATAAACTTGAACAGGCATTAATTATGACAATCTTGGTTTCTATAAGATTTCTTTTAAAAACCTCTTTTAATATCAATTTCTTTATGCATGTGTGTGCATAAGAGAAAAGATCACACAACTCAGATAAATCAAAACTAAAACTGCCTAAGTGGCCTTAAATAACCTATTTTACAGATATATTCTAAGATAAACCTGACTTACATCATGACATAGTTTTCCTCCTCCTCGCCAAGAAGATCCATATAGGAAGTATSTGGTATCTAAGGAGGAATCACATTCATGTAGTTTAACAGAATTGCTGCTGGTCAAAGTACCAAAAGGGTGGAAGCAACAAAGAAGCAGGAAAAGGACAATCCAACAGCAAGAGGAGCATGCAATGCCCTGGAGGACTTCCTTTCATCTCTCCTCTAACACAACATTTCCCAGTGATGAGAAAGTTTGACTTTGTGATATTAAATAGCAGTTTATGCAGGTGGGATTTATGTCAGCTGACTACAAGTAAAAAAGCAAGATCTCTGAGGCAGTTTTCCTAAGCATTCTGCATAGTCAGAGAAAACAGAGAAAACAGAGAAAACCTGCAGAGGATGATTCATCTGATCTGTTTCTTTCCACCATCTCTGAAGAGAGCTAGTTCTGACTTCCAGGTCTAACCTGCAAATGACTGAAGTAATGCAGACGAAACTCACCCTGTTCCCCATCTTCTTGATGTTCTGCTTCATTTCTCCAGCTCATTTTGCATATTTGCATCAAGTACTGTTAGCAATCCTTTGCATAGAAAGAAACCATTGTTTCAAAAACGAAGTATTATAAGAATACTAAGTGGCCTTCAAAAAAGAAGCGCTAAAACCTCACAGTTCTTGAAAATTATGAAACTGAGAAGTGTGCATGTATAAAGGTGATAATGTGATAAATAGAATCTCAAGTTCTATCACTTGTGAGTTTTCAAAAACTGGAGTCTCAGTTAAAACCTCTTCCCAGCCTGCATGTGCAAACCACAGTGTAGTGYTCCTAGGGAAGATAACTTAAAAAGTTTTTGTTTGTCTCATTTGCTGCCTTAAACCCAAGACAAACCATAACAGGGGGAAAGGAAGGAACTACTGAAGAGATCTGCCTCACACCTCTTTTTCACCCTCTTCACAGAACGAAGAAAGAGGAGCTCATTTTTTATTTACGTATAATGGCTTTTTATGTAAATCCATCCATATATGCATGTGCATGCATAAACATGCATTTAAATGTCCMTGTATTCCACTAATATATGTATCACTACAAAAATTACTGCAAATATGAGAAATAAAATCTTTTAATAAAGCCCAGTAGTCAATAAGAACAAAGAAATACAGGTTTTCAGAGTTGACTGCCAGGGAAAATTTTACAGGTTTGTGTCTCCTCAGTTGAATTAAAAAAGACTCCTCAACAAAATTAAATTTAAATTCAAAGCTGAACTCCTGAGAGACATCAAAATAAACTACATAAAACATGAACTAGTATCTCCGTGCATTTCTTACTCTTCCAAGTGTCAGGGATCTTCATTCCAGCTGGAAATATTGCTCACGCCTGTCAAGGGGTTTTGATGGCAATGCTTTTTGCCCRTTCAGACTGTCATGTTCTGTAAGGAGATCGCTCTTGATGGATTTCAGAACTCAAAYCAATACAGAATATTGTCTTGAGATTTAGGAAAAAAAAATAAATAAATGTGCTCTTCACTACACAAAATACTTCAGCTCTGGAGAATTATCAAGTTCAAATAAAACATAGTTTTTAAAAACTCCTTAAATTGAMGTAAAACTGAATTTCTGGAACTAACATTTTCTATTTTTCTGGAATTCTGCAGCATTAACTAACTTTTTATATGCAGTTTGTATTGAATCTAACAGTTTAAATGCAAAGCACCAATGAATACACAATTCTAGT